ATATAGGGGGAAAATCTGTGGTAGAGCATTGTGGCCATGGGCCTTTTTTGGGATTGGATCAAAAGGTCAAGGTAAACAGTCCTCTATTGATTTTGAAGTCAAGGTAAAGGTCAATTAATTCCTATATGATGATATAAGTTTACAAATGACATCTCTATTTTTCTAATCTTTTGTAATTAAACTATGCAGTGACGCTATACATTTTAAAAAAAGTTTTTAAAAATAACAAGAATTTTTTTTAATGAAATTTGCTGTATTTTATTGTTTTTTATTTGAAAATACAGTAAAATTGTAATTTTTCTGCATATTTGTTTTTTTTTTAATTCCAAAAATGATATCCAGTTGGTTACCATAGCAACAGTGAACAATGAAAAAAATGTTATGTTTAAAGCTCAAGTTTGTGAACATACATTACATATAAGTCATCAAATATATTTTTCATCATGCACATGTGCCACCCTCTGCCTGAATCTTGCATGGAACAGTACTTAATAGCTATCATCGGCATGTTTTGTTAACGTAAGCAGTAATGACGGCAGTTTTGGAATGATGATCTCGACCATGTGCTATTAAATTATAAGACGTCTTTATATGTACATGTTATTTCTCAATAAGAAGTGTTGATCTGTCTTTAATTAAGTTCAAGTGCAGTACTTTGTAGTTATAAAAATCTCTATTATTCTCGTAGTATTACTGGCCGAATTTGTAAACTTGACAGCTGAATTGTCACCCATCATTAAAAAAATGTTCGTCCTCGAATTGTAAGTGATATGATTTAAATATTATGTAGTATTTAAAGATAATTAAACACATACTCACTGATCGTCAATATATACATTGTTATAACCTATACATTAAATTAGTAAATATTTAGAATGATTGCCAATTAACATCAATAAATACTTGAAATGTATAACTGAATAGATTATAAAATATGTACACAAATGAATTAAGAATAATTTAATTCTAGTTGTAACGCTGTATTTGATTGGATAAAAAATTTACTTTATATAGTATAAAATGGGTTGCCTACGTCACAATGACTTGCGTCAAAAACGTATTGATCCGCCTGACGTTGCATTCAAATTTTGTACAAATTGAAGTCATTTTTTAAGGACAATCATCTTTTTTTCTTACACCAAATGTATGAAAATTAAATTATAAGGAATGAATTTAATAGCTACCCAATTTATATGGTATAAACTGGGTTGGAACAGTTTACGCTTTTTTATAAACCGCTTCGCGTTTTATAAAGCGTAAACTGCCCAAACCCAGTTTATACCGTTTAAAATGGGTAGCTATTAAATTCATTCCTTAAATGAATACATAATTACAATACTATTTCAATGCATACATGCAGATCTTATGAATAATATATATATTAATTAAATATAATATATATATATATATATATATATATATATATATATATATATATATATATATATATATATATATATATATAAGAGATTCAGTCGATTACTAGAGATTCAGTCGATTACTAAAAATTATTTCAAATTATAATTTTAAAAAATTTAGTCACATTTGAAAGAGGCGCAGAAACAACCACAAAGACGGGCACATGAAGAGGCGCGCATAGAGCAGACACGGGATTAGATCACTCTCCATGGGTGAAAGTCTAGATGGTAGAAACTTGTGTAGCAGCATCACAGATTAAAGTAGAGGTGAAAATGTAAGAGAGGCTAATCTGGACACTTTTGGGTCCATCAAAGTAGACTGAGGGTCCCTAGTGATTACAGACTTTAATACTGTCTGGTACCGGGATGCAATTCTTCTCTCCAATTAATGGCCGAAGAACCAAGGGGCAACCAGGTCAATCTACGTCCTCTTAGATGACGGGCTTCAAGGTTCGCCTTCTGCATCAGAACATCTACAATATCATTACAATCAAAACTGGGAGCACCTGAAAAAGAAAAATTGGGGGTTATTTACAAAATCCAGATGGTGGTAGGAGGAACGAGAGGACTTGCTCTTGTGAAGTGTATAGAATGGAGTGTTGATGGATGCTTGATAGAAGTTTTAGGGGCAACAGACAGATGACAGCTGCAGGTTCAACGACGGAGAGAGAGCAGATGGAGCTGAGGTCAATGGTGTTACCAGAGAGTGTGCGGATGGAATAGACTTCAGGTAGGGCAAGCAAGCAAGTGTCCAAGTTTAAAAAGTCATAGTCAGGGATGCTGACCAGTAAGAGTGGGTCAGTTGAGGAGGTAACTGGTTTCTGGAATAGAAAGCACTGGAATCGTGGCCTAACCTGAAGAGGAAGCAGTCATCTGAGGGGTGGACAGGGAATCATTCACAGCCAAGCAAGCAGCCTTTTCCGTAAGAGAATCTCCAGCATCAGTGAAGATAGGTGGCAAGGGAGCTTCAGTGGGTGTTGGAGGGACAACAGGTGACTGAGAAAAGGTCACAGAGGCCACATGTGCTTAACAGGATCCTTTGTAAAGAGAGCCTTTTTTTGAAGCCATCTTCCGCACGGGCAAGTCTGTCTAGCCCGTACAAGTCGACTTTCTTCAGGCTTCCCTACGAAGACAGAAGGGGATCGCATAGGCATTAGTGGTATGCCCGATTTTCCAGCCTTGGAAACTTCTGGCACTCAGGATGAAATTGGAGACACAGAGGTCCTAGTGCGTCGCCTTGAAGATTTCCTGGGATAGTCCTGGGGATCTTATGGAAATGCTCCTCTCAGGACGATACTTTAGCAATGAAGGAGAAAGCACAGGAAAAAGGAAAGAGTCGCGTTTCCTCACAGTCTAGGTTCGGTGTTTCCAGCGGTGCCTATGTACTGCTCCATAAGATATCTTCTGGTAGCTGGGTAGTAACAGATGGAGCATTCTAAGATGTTCCAATGAACTTCCTGAAGGTGTCTTGCCAGTTGTTTCCTGAACTTAAAATTTCTTGGACAGAGCCGTCAGTCAAACATCTGCATTTAGCATAAGTAGATATGAGAAGACAAAACATAATTTTGTCGCCCGCGTGGCGCAGTGGTTAGAGCATCTGCTCTAGAGTCGCGGAGTAAGGAATTGATCCTTACGTCGCAGGGTTAAATCCCACTGCGGGGCATGGAGACCGGTCCTTCGGAAGAGACCTTATAAACCGAGGTCCCGTGTCGCAGTAGGTAATGGCACGAAAAAGATCCCTCGCTGCTCAATAGCCCTGAATGCCAAGCATAGGTTAAAATTTGGTGGCGTCTCCATATGAGTGAAAAAAATTCTCGAGAGGGACTTAAACAACATACAAACAAACAAAACAAAAAAATAATTTAAAAAAAAATAATATTCCGGAACAAAATTGAGGAAAGTTTCTGTAATCTTCATGTCTCTGTACTTAATTTTACAGAGTACTCGGGTGCCAGCCTATAATCATTCCAAATATGGCTTTGAGCAGCTTGTGATGGACAACTTTCTTCACTGAAGGACCTCTAGAAATTTCGTAAGTCAGGTCAGAAAGTATAAGGACCCGCCCACTTCTTGCAAAACTTAGGATGCATTTTAATAGCCCTGTTTATATTTATTAAAACAAAGTCACCTTCATTGTATTGATACTGTTTGCATTGTGATCATACTTTCTCTGCTGTCTGGCTCCAGCCTTTAACATTGCTGACCTTGTCAGTTCATGCACATCAAACATTGTACATGTGCTTTGTAATTCTAGTACATAGTCACTGTAAGAATTAGCAGGAACTCTGGAAGTGTCATGGCGGCCATGTAACAAATAAATAGAAATCTCAATTTCTTTACCAACCATACGTAAACATCGGGTCTCTCCGGTACTTTCAAGAATTGGAGATCTATACATCTTCAAGATATATACAAGATATATTGCCAACGTAAGGAGGGGCAAGTATAAAACCCTATCTCTGGGATGTTTTCCCATATACATGTATTTTTTTCTAGAGGTGTGCAATATTACCGGTATATCGGTATATTGCGGTAAATCCCATGGCGACAATAAATCGCGATATGAAAGTCAGAAACCGGTATTTTACGATATATATATGAATATATAGAACAACTTTTAATTGTAAGAAAATGTTGAAATAAAGTGTTTTATCTTGTCCACAACACCTCAGGCATTTTTAATCGTGTCAAATAACTACACCGGATGTCAAAACTATGATACTAACTGAAGGGTCCGGGTATGGTATGAGCTTTGAAATTCGGAAAATCTAGATTCTCAAAAGTGATGTTCTATTTACTTTAATACTTTCCTTATTAATGAAATTATATTTATTTAAAATTTTTTTTTTTTCAAAACGTTTAACAACTCTGGTTTTCCGATTTCTTTCTCTATATGTCATATTTTTGCGGGAAAAGTACGTTTTGGTTTTAGTTTCTAGTGTCAATTTGTTAAAAAGAGTTCGAGGTGGTGAAGAACACAAAGGCAAAAGCTGCTATTTGGCAGAACTTTTCACTGAAGAAAAGAAAAAGTGATGGGGTGTTGCTATCAAATATTGCAATTTATAAACACTGCAATAATGAAGTTAAGTATTCCGGTGGAACTTCAAATTTAAATGCTCACATCCGTGTGTTTCACCCAGGTGCAATGGGGTAGTTAGAATAATCTAACTGTGTCTCGGTACAAGCCCTCACCACAGTTAGAATACGTCCCATATACTTGCAATGTAGCAAATCGGAGTGGATCCACTCCGAAATGATTTTGAAGTAAACAAAAGGAGTTGCACTGAAAATAACTACCAAATTAATCATAACAAACCTTTTTGAGATTGTATATGCCTTTTAACCAAAAAAATAATCCATATTAAGACGAAAATTCAACTCCTTTTCTCAACGTTTTTTTCTCGCTTCAAATTTACACACCATGTTGACATTCGGAACTCTCTGGATGGATCATAGTAAAGCACTGAGTTCGAGTTATCGCCCGTGTTTATTTCGCTACATTGCAAATACACGGAACGAATTCTATCGTTAAACCGGGTCCGTAGGACAATATCATTTTAACGATAGAACATTCTATCTACAATGGAGATGCATGGCTTGGCTTGCATTCCAGTCAAGCATGACAGAAACAATAACACAGACACGATACCATCCAAAATACTTACCAAGCCAGCGTCATCTCAGCAGACATTACCAAATGTTATGGCAGTAAAGTATCCACCAAAATCATCAAAAGCGATGGCAATTACTGATTCTATAGCCAATTTTATAATTAAAGATCTGAGACCATATAGAATTGTTGACTCTCCAGAATTTCGAGCAATGGTAAAGACGTTGGATTCTCGCTATCAATGCCCTTCTAGGAAGCAATTTTATGATGTTTTGATACCCCAAAAATATGAAGCAGTCAAAACTCAAGTTCAGGATCGGTTGAAAAATGCTGGCCAGGTAAATTATTATCAACATGATCAAGAATAATATTGTTACATTCACAATACATTATATACACTGAGGGAGATTTTTTTTTAAATTCATTATCATTAATGCAAACCAATTTTACATGTGTATCACATTGAATTTATTAGTGATTTAATGTAATTTTAATAACCAGAATATTTATTTTGATTTAAGGTAAAAAATCATTTGAATTATTTGTGACTATTAATTCTCTGATTTTTTGTTAGATTGCCATTACAACTGATGGATGGACTTCAAGATCCACTGAGTCTTATGTGACCATAACATCGACTCACATTACTGACGAATGGAAATTGCAGAACTTTGTTCTTCAGACTCGGTGTCTGCCTAAAAGTCATACAGGTAAAATAATTTACTTATTGAAATATTTTAGTAAATACTCTTGAAAGAAACTTAATTGATGAAAATTACTTTTGAAATTATTATTTTAATTTTTAAATTAGGTGAAAACCTTGCTGAGGCAATTACTAAAGCTTTGGATGAATGGAACATACCAAGGACACCGCTCTTTGTGGTATCAGATAATGCAGCAAATGTGACTAAAACAGGAGATCTACTCAAGTGTGAACTCCATCTTGGATGCTACGCCCATACTCTAAACTTAGCTGTTCAGAAATGTTTGGGAGTCCAGTCAGTTGCACGTCTTCTTGCCCGAGTCAGAAAGATCGTTGTTTTTTTTCCACAGAGGTAGTGTTGCATCTGCAATGCTGAAAACACAAGCATCTCTATTGGAACTTCCTTATCACAAACTTGTTATTGATGTTTGCACTAGGTGGAACAGTGCATATGAGATGCTTGATAGGTATTTATCTATGCAGGCAGCTGTAGTTAGTGTCCTGGTAAGCAAGGATCTTAAAAACAAGGATAAAGACTTAAAGTTTCTCTCTGATGATGAAACTACCCTTGCTGAGGATGTTGTTACCTGCCTTAAACCACTGAAGGCAATTACCACAACAATGTGCAGTGAAACAAGTCCTACAGCTTCCATTATTTTGCCTATTCATTACCAGCTACTTGATTATGTTCTTCTCCCAAAAGAAGGTGACTCTCCAACAATAGTAAACATGAAAAAGTCAATGTCATTGAATCTGAAAGAAAGATATGCTACAAAAGAAAACATGTTGAACAAAGTAACAGCCCTTGATCCTCGTTTCAAAACACTTCCATATTTACCTGAGGAAGATCGATTGTCAGTTTTTGACACATTAGTGAGGGAGGCAGGAAATCTTTCTAACACAAACACACAGATTACTGTGAAGACTGAGCCAGTGGACAATGCTGACAATCCACCCATTCCTCCTCTGCCTGTATTGCCTACAGTTTCAGATGATTCTGTCCCTCATCCTCCTGAGGAGAATCCTATTCCTCCAAAGATCATGAAAATTGAGTCAAAATCGAAACCTTCATCTAGTACCCTTAATGACATCCTTGGTGATGTTTACATATCTAAAGTGTGTCCACCTTTGAAAAAGCCTAAGCTTCAGGCAGCAGAGGATGAGATATCGCAGTACAAGAGTTGCCCTGGTATCCCATTGAATGCTAATAAATTAAACTGGTGGAAAGAAAACCAAGGACAGTTCCCACTTTTGGCTGTACTTGCTAAAAAGTACTTGTGCATACCAGGCACAAGTGTGCCATCCGAACGTGTCTTTTCTACAGCGGGGGACATAGTGTCTGCCCAAAGGGCAAATCTCAAGTCAAAGCATGTAGACATGTTAATTTTTTAAAAAAAGAATATGTGATTCAGTGATTGTGGAGTACTTCAACTCAGTTTTATTGAATCTTTGGAATCTAGTCATGAAAGTTAAGGCCTAATGAGCTTGATTTATTGTTTTGTGTAAATGTGTTTACCTAGTAATGCTAATTGCCAGAACTTCAGGTTTTTAATGAGCAAACACTCAGATTTCTTATTTTATTTTTTATCATTTTAACTGTTATTTCAATTTTATTTACAGTAAAGTGTTCTGTAAGTAGTTGTAGTGTCATGTTTTTCTATTAAAGAGTAAAGAGTTCTTCTAAAATAAATAAATTTAATACAATTTATTAGTTTTTATTCACATTTATAAATGTAAATGTATCTGCAATATATCGCAATATATTGCAATATTCAAAGTAAAATATTGCAATATATCGCAATATGGTTTTCACCCACAATACCCAACTCTATTTTTTCAGCATACATTTTAAAGTTCGATTAAATTGCTCCACTAGGCCGTCGCTCTGAGAATAGTAGGGGATTGTTCTCGTTTTATACATGCCTAATACTTAGCATATTTATTTCTCAACGGATTTTTCCGTACGCCCGATCCTGACAATGAGCACTTACTTCGTCCCACCTCTGATGTTTTTTTAAGAGGTCTGTGTTTCTCTGCTCCCGATTTGTATCATTTCAAGGGACTTTTGAGCTTTATAACTGTTCGTTATCTCCATATATCGTGCAATATTTTCACAATCATCTGACTGTGTTTTTGATTCGACTCTAAAGAGCATGTTCTGAATATGATCAAATTTTAAACCGAGGCAGGTTAATCAAAAATAAGTTGGCGTTTCATGGTTTTCAATGTCAAAGTTGAAGATAACGAACAGTGATCAATTTTTAAGTCAGGAGTTTGCAAATCCTATGGTCGTTATAATGACCTTGTTTGCAAGTTAAACCATTCGTTCCGTCTTATCTCGATTGATATGTTTCCCACGAATTGTTAAACAATTTAGACTTCAGTATTACTTCATTTACCTGATCAATACAGAGGGTTCATGGCGGATGTGGCCAGTCAACAGGCATTGCTTACTCCTAGGCACCTGATATCACTTCTAAGGTTTCCAGGGGTCTGTGTTTTTGTTCTGTTCCCGAAAAACTCTCTTCACAAATTAAGTCACGTGCACCTCTTTACGGTCCACTACGCTTCCGACAAACCCTTGACAGATTTGTAGCTAAAACTCGGTGTAATAGAAATTTCACAAGGTTTTACATTCCCTTAATTGTACGCATTTGAAATAGTCTTTTTGTTACCAAAACACATTTTAAGTTAACAGGAGGGAATTCATGAAAACTGCATTTGTCATTATTAGGAATGAGTTTTGTTTTTGTCTGTGTTTGCTTACAATGGATTAAAGTCGCCCGCATGGCGCAGAGGTTAGAGCATCTGCTCAAGAGTTGCAGAGTAAGGATCTGATCCTTACGTCGCAGGTTCGAATCCACAGCGGGACGTGGAGACCGGTCTTTCGGATATGACCGTATAAACCGAGGTCCCGAGTCGCAGTAGATGTTGGCACGAAAAAGATCCCTCACTGCTCAATGGCCCTAAGTGCCGAGTATAGGTATAAATTTGCAGCCCTCCTCCGTCAAGTGATGGCGTCTCCATATGAGTGAAAAATTCTCGAGAGGTACGTTAACAACAAAACAAACAAGGAATTAAAAGCTGTTGGCTAGAATTCAGTGTCGCTAATATCGGCCGTAAACACATCACAGTAAAAGGGTTTGTGGGAGCGTAGCGGACCTACAAGATGTCGTAGAGCATGACGATGTCGATGTATCATTGTCATTATATCGACTATAGAACTTACGAAATGACGACTTTAAACGAGACTGCTGATATTCTTGTTTCATCAACTTGTTTGGCAATAACCTACCTCGTTTTAGAAATTGGTCGTACGTAGAGTATGCTCTTGCGTATCGAATCAGCTGAGAGATATAAACCCCGTATGAGGTAATGAAGGTATATTGCTGCATAAGTAAGGGAAGCTGACGATTGAAAAGTTAAAGTCATCAGGTTTATCACAAAGCTTGGTTGTTAGATTACCTTTAATGTCTTTTTCTAGTAATATATCCAAATATGAAACATATATTGGAGACTTTTGAGTTTGAATACTGTTCGTTATCTCCTTACATTTCAGGAGGAATGTGACTGTGAATCATGACCTTTTTTATGCTTAGGACAGAATGCAATACAGATGAAGGGATTAAGGCATTAGTGTGAATAACGCAAAAAAAAAATCCTAGTCCTATTCGAAACATGGATTTACAAATCTATTGCATGCATGGCCAAGGAGATATAATTTTACATTGAAATATACCGCTATGTTAACGATAATCCTAATCATTCTTATATATGCACTTTCTGGTCAAAAGATCAATATTTAATACCTGACTTTAGGCAGGGTTGTTTCTAAATTCTAATTTGTTATCTTCCAAGATAACTGTGGATAAAAATAAAATGACATTTTCTTCTTTCTCAGATATATTTATATGACTGGAACTTCCATGGTAAATAATGACAATGTTTTAACCAAAATATCCAAAACTACCTTTAGAATCTTTCTACTCATAAGTTATTATTTCTGTTAATTCTTAATTAAGGTGTTTTAAAATTAGTGCATGGAGATTACGAACAGTATTCAAGCTCAAAGTCCATTTAAACAATATGAATTGGGAGAAGAGCAAACACGGATCTTCAAAAACAACAGAGGTTGGATCAGGTGGCATAGAGAAGAAAGCATATCCTGTCCACCGGTCACACCCGCCATGTGCTCCTTGTCATGATCGGGAGAAACGGGAAAATCCGTAGACAATTCAGTGTGTCAAAAATGGTTTAACAATAAGTATGAAAAACATCATTCAGCGTTCTACTTAATGATAACTATTTAGATTGTGTTTGCTCACAATGTCACAAGATCATTTCACCGACCTTAGAACTTGCGAAACTTGACTCAAACGAGATTGTCGGCATTTGACTTAATGATAGGTTGTATTTGTTGAAAAGGTCTTTGTATCGACATAAAACTTGCGAAATGATGACTTCAAACGAGACTATTGGTATCTTTGTTTCATCAACTTGTTTGCCAGTAGCTTGCCTCGTTTTAGAAAGAATGGAAACAATCTATACGAATTTTAATGAGACGATCGAAAATATATTTGATGAATTTTAAAAGTTAGAATATTCTTATGTGCACCAGTGGAAATAAGTTATTCATCATACGATACCTTGTTTCTTGACGAGTTCCGATTATCAAAATGTATTATTTCTAATCCATGGTTTTTAAAACTTAATGTACATACACCCCTATGTTTAAAAAAAGTATGCCAACAAATTATAGTGTATTTACTTACATTTCAACGATCTTTTTCAAAATTGCTAAAGTTTTAATGATGACATTTGTGCTTTTACTTTGTTTATTCATGTCTTCAAATAGTAAACAATTTACCCACAGTTTGACTTTTACATTTGGGTCACTTATAAATTATAGCTTTCAAGAGTGCATGGGCAGGCTGTACTTTAATCAGTAACATGATTACCGTATGGATTAAAATGATGATATTCATGAAATATAGCCTTTCATTCTAACTTCTATTGTGGGCAAAAACTTTGTCGTTGTCTTTTAAAGTACAATGCAGGAAAGATTAAGAAAAGTAGTTTAATGTCTTGCTAAAAAATACTGCAGTGAAAGTTTAAAATTTCGATAAACATAAGATTATCAGAAAAAGCTAAGGAGGCCATTGTACTTTTACTTCAAAAATCAGCTAGTTATAACTGTACTGTACATAGTAGAGTGAATGATCTAAATCATACTTCCCATTCTCAAGTGGTGTAAATCGGATGTGGATTCTCAAAAATTCAAAATCGCCATTTTTTTTTTCAAAAGTCAGTAACACCAAAACTTCACATGTTAAATTAAAAACTAGGCTTTTTATATCAAAGACAACACTGCTTCTTCAATAAAAATGGAAGTCGGAAATTTTCATATCTTAATTGGCCCCAGGGTCAGAGGAACTGGAGTTTGAATTGGGCTCTTATGATCTTATAGTGAAAATGAATAAATTCTTTAAAAACTCTTCCTCTCCGTGTATATTTGACCGATAAACTAGGTGGATGGGGTCACGATGAGCAAGGATGCCTCTTCCAATATTGTGAAAGGGTCAGGGGTTGGGGGAGGGAGGCTATTGATTGTATAGTGAAACTGCATTATTTCTTTGAAAAAATCTCTGATCCTGGGTATTAAGCAAACAAACTAATACATATTTATTGATAGTTATTGATAAGCAAGGGTGCCTCCGTCAAAATTATGAATTTCATGGCCCTTGGGTCAGTGATTCTGGTGTAAGGGTTGTGCTCTATTGATTAATATATGGTCACAATTTTTTTTTTGAATGTGATATCGATGGAACTTTTTAACAGTACACAGAGACGTAAGCGTAGTCATGAACATCGGTCTTACAATAAACCTATTACACACGATGTTTCCTTTGATTCATTACTACCTTATGTTAATAAACAGTTAGGCCTTCATCACATTCGCACCAAACTTTACTCTGTCCCTTTGAAAGTTTTGAATACTATAGATCTATGTATTCTTTGTTATCCCCCCGGATCGAAAGATCTCGGGGGTATATTGTTTTTGTCCTCTCTGTTTGTCTGTCTGTCTGTTGTCAACTTTTCCCTTGCCCATAACTTTTGATTGGTTGGAGCTATGACTTTCATATTTCACATGTGTATTCCTTATGACAAGAGCTTTCTTTGGGTACCATCATATTTGACCTTGGAGTTTGACCCACTTTTGCAAAATTTTATGAGACTTTAACCTTGGCCATAACTTCTGAACAGTTGGTGCTTGGGATTTCAAACTTAACATGTATATTTTTTGTGACAAGGCCTTCCTGTAGATACCAACCACTTTGACCTTCTTACCTTGGAGTTTGACCTACTTTTGAAAAACTTTAACCTTGGCCATATCTTTTGAACAGTTGGTGCTTGGGGTTTCAAACTTCACATGTGTCTTCCTTGTGACAAGACCTTCCTCGGGATATCAACCTCTTTGACCTTGACCTAGGAGTTTGACTTACTTTTGAAAAACTTTAACCTTGGCCATAACTTTGAATGGTTGATGCTAGGGCTTTCATACTTCACATATGTAATCCTTGTGACATCAACTTCCTCTGGATACCAACCAATTTGACCCTTTGACCTTGACATGGGAGTTTGACCTACTTTTGAAAAACGTTAACCTTGACCATCACTTTTGAATGGTTGGTGCTAGGGCTTTCATACTTCACATATGTAATCCTTGTGACAAGACCTTCCTTTGGATACAAACTTTGACCTTGACCATGACATTTTACTTACTTTTAAAAACTTTAACCTTGGCCATAACTTTTGAACAGTTGCAGCTAGGGCTTTCAAATTTCACAGGTATATTTCTCGAGACAAGACCTTTCTTTGGGTACCAACATTTTTTATCTTTTGGCCTGGATTTTGACTTGCATTTGAGAAACTTTAACCTTCGCCATAAGCTACCATACGGGGGCATCAGTGTTTCACAAATACATCTTGTTTGAAAATTGTCTTTCTATTTAAAAAGAGAGTTTAATGAGGAAAGTATGTTTTAATGATATACATTCTAAGTTGAATAAAAATGGAAGGATTATTGCTGATGTAACAACCAATATTGAACGACGTAGTATAGAAATATACATAAAAAAATCAATTTAACACATTATACTCGGTAGTAAACGAATTAAATTATATCACATCAACATTTCGATCAGTATGGTGTATCAAAGCCGTGAGCTCTATAGTTTTCAATATATTCAGGTTTGAATTAAGAGTCCTCTCCTCTCCCCTTTTGTATGATTTCTCTTTTTGTAATTTACGACTAGAAATGCCCCCCTCCATCGTTATTTCCTGTTTTTGAACTTCAATGGTATTTCTTGTGTCTTCTTTGATTCCTTTGCCATTTTCACAATTCTCTGAATAATTCGAGGCGTTTTCTTCTCTGTCGGAGTTTACATTAGTAATGTTAGTGTCCATGGATGTATCTGTCGTCCGGCTACTTCCGGTGCCGTTATTGTCTGAGCTATTTTGTCTCATTTCATACGTGGAGTTTGAACTCCCCAACAGGAACGATAACTCCCGTTTCTTTTCTCTAGTGTATTTTGTTTTGTTCACTTCATGGTAGTATTTCCTTGCTTCTATTTCCGATCGATGCTTTTTGTCCTCGGATAAGAAAAGACCTTGATCAAAGAATGAGGATATTTAAGAAATTTACATGGCTTGAATAAATTAGATAGACACTTATCATGACTTATGTAGGAAAAATGAAATTGTTCCATAAGGAAAATATTCTAAAAGTAGAAATTTACCTTTTAAACTTTTCCATCGAGTGCTCTGAATAAAAAATAAAAGTGGTGTGCTTTTTATATTTGATTTGAAAAACAAAAATCGTTTTACTGCAAGATTGAATATATACGTTATACATATCGTGGTTAATTGTAAAGATTATTTTAGAAATAGGTGCTTGTTCGGTTGTTCAAAATATATAATGATATAAAATTATTATATCTCATTATAATAATATTATTACATGTATAAACGCGTCATCTGACTGGTCTAGACACTCGTAAACGTCGCGTATCCTACGAAGAAATATGGAATCCAACCACTCTAGAACACTAAATTTTCCTTTTGGAATTTTTATTCTTTATTTTATAATTTTGCCATTATAAACTCTACTATACAATATAAACTTGAGTTTATTCACAGAGTGTCCCCATTAAATTTGCCGGGATATACTATATATTAGAAAATAAAGGTAATTTATGGATGTACCTCCCCCCTCCCCAATAACGTGATGAACTTTTATTCTTACTGGTCCAGAATTTCTTTTAGGTTGTGCTTCGTCAAACTTAAATTGCTTCCTATGGGCCTGCGTAATTGAGTATCACATTTACAATGAGAAGAAAGTATGAAATGTACTTGACAAAAAGATTTTAAGAACACAGAAAACCTCAAAACTTGCAAAAAAGCGCTTCAAACACTTTATTAAACGTGAATTTGAGAGCAGCAAAAGTTTGTTTTGATTCGGTATAAGAAACAATTCATTACATGAATGTTCGGGAGATATTTCGATGATACAAACTCATTAAGCAAATCATGTCATCTTACTTGTTTACATTTGCTGAAGTCCTAGCCAAATGCAATGAGAGAAGCAGGGTTAAATAAACATTACCAGTCGTATGAATTTGGAATTTTTTTTAAATCTTAGATTAATTAGGGATTATGGATTAGGGTCCAATAGTGGGGGACCTGCCTTTCAATGAACATTTTAGTCTAAATTAAAAGTAAAAATTCACTTTTAGAAAGTTTTTATTGGGGGGGGGGGGGCTGAACCCCCATCCCCCCAACCACCCCAACTCAAATAATATTTTCCCTAATGTTATGTTCACCTGAGTGGAAGTCGGTAGCAAGTGAAATAGCTTTCCAAAACTATTTGTATCAATTTTGAATTCCCCGATCTATTTTTAGACCAATGTTGAGAAAATAAATCTTTATATTCATCTGGAAGGTCACGTGCAGGTGAATATAACGTAGTATTTTTTTCTACATTGTTGGATCTTAGCCAATCAGAGAGATAGGAATTATTCAATCATATAAAAAAAGTTATATTCAGCCAGGAAATAAAATTCCCCGAGGGGAATGTGATTTTTCTTGGCAGGATAATATTCATATTTCTTTCAAGAATATGCAATGAATATATACATCATCTGAAATTTCGAGGTCTAGTACCAACTTACATGTGATAGACTGTGTTCTGTCGAGAAGCAATGTAAGGCACAGTGTTTGATCTGTAATATTTAGAATAATTTCCATTAGTGTACTCTCTGGAGGAAAATATGGATTACGATTTCAAAGTACTGTTGATAACATAGTTTATCTGTATGTGTTGTATTATTCTCAAACCTTGCTCTCCAAAACGCATCTTATAAGATATACATAACCAACCTGAAATATGAATTTACAATCATTTTTTTTTTTTTTTTTTGCACATCTATTTTCGAACAAAAATGAATATTCCATTTTAAAATCAGAAAATGAATCCAAGCCATGTTTAAAAAATTGTGTGTTTACCCTCTCCCAACCAACTGACTAAAAATGGCCGACTCAAATCTCTTTTTTATCCTCCAGGAAACAATTATATTTTTATTCATTCCAAAGTTTTCTCATCCCATTAATTACTATTTTATCTTCATATTCGCAATTGTTTTTGAATTAAAAAATTCCCTTACCTACCTAGCCAACTTTTTTTATCCTGAGTCGGGAGAGGGCAAACAAAGATTTTTTTTTTTTTTTTTTTTTTTTTTTTTTTTTTTTTATAAAAGATGGCCTCATATACTTTCATTTCATTTTATATTCTTATTATATTTTATTTGCAAACTACTTTGCTGAAGGAAGTTTTTCAAATGTATGCAGATACTCCAATCTTCGTTATTGTTGGATGATAAGGTAACGTACCAAACAAATTTTGCATGTGGAATGCAGAACAATCTGAGAAGAATTAACATTGACTAAGTCCATTCCTAATACAGCCTCCGTCAGAGTTAGTGACAACAATATTAAAGACTTCAAGAAAATAAGTCTGAAAATTACAAAAAAAATTAATAATTGTAAAGAATAATTGTTCGAAATTAAAAGAGAGGAGGAGATTTATAAAGATTGAAGATAATATCTATAGGACAGCACGAGTGAACAATGGCCTTAACTACATTATAGTGTTAAACTCTATGTACACACATGAAACGTCTTTTGAACACAACCTCGCTTTCCTCTGTAAGTTTAACACGGATTTTCCACACTATGGTAGTGAAAACAAGGAATGCCTATTCAAAGAAGAAATATTTCAGTTTGCTAGAAAATATTCGATATATCTGCTTTTTTGTGTAAGTCATACAAGCAACGCGTTAAAAATTTGTGTCAGTGATATTTACCGATTTATAAATGAAAAAAAAACAACTTCGAAAACGATGAGTATAGATCGAAGATAACCTTCAAAACTGGAATAAAAAGAAAACTTACCAGAATTATAAATGTCACTGGCAGCATAAAGACATAAAACTGCCAGGTGGATTTGGAGATCCAACAACTGAAAGAGATATAATAATAATTTTATCTACAATGTTTAACACTAGAATTATAAGGAAGTAAACTATTTACTTATGCAATTATGTTCCTTTACCTGACACTACATCTGAAATTTACAACGAATTTTTGATGTGTATGAGGTGATACCCGACAAAGGAGCACGTTATATTTCGCAAAGGAGCGTGAAATAATTCGCATAAGTATTAGTGATCTCCTTATACACACCATAAATGGACACTTTTCTAAAATTTGCCTGTTTACTTCACAGCTTCACAACGCACCCTCTGTATCACACTTGATACATAAAAGATGTGCATATGTTATAAAAAAAAAAAATACCAATCACCACTCCGTTTTGATCTTGAAAAAAAAAACAACAACAACCGAATAATTGATATCATGATGTGATATGTCCAGGGATTTTACTATGAATAAGATGCATTTGTCATGTGGCAAAAGTTTCGTTGTGGAATCATTAAGTAATCCTACTTGATAAGAAATCGATGTGCTTTGCTGTTTCCTTTTTTTTTATTTCCAGCTAGCTCGGCGAAGTTTGAGGCAAAACTTACATCATCATTTTTTCATCAGATGAAAACTTTGGAAAAACAGCTGAAGTAGTAGTGAAGAAAACCGTCAAAACCACTGGGATTCCTGAAAGATATAACATACAAATTACAGTCTATCGTCAAATTCACCGGGATTTCTAAAAGATAAAGCACATTTTATAGGAATTTTCAAAACCAATTTTTACTTCTATAAAGTTACAGAAAATCCTGCCAACCAAAGGAGATCAAGAAAGATAACGCACAAGTTACTAGCAATTGTATGCAAACATTACAGGTAATCTTTGAAATTTAACATATTCTCAAATAAAACGCATGTTATTGCGGAAAAAAAAACAGGAAAAAGTTAAGCTGGTTTTCATCATCAAAACTTTTGAGTAATGACAATTATGCTCACTGGTATTTAAAAATTCGGCATGTATATTTGTAATTTTTACTGGTTTCAGTTTGCAAATTCAAGCTTACTTAACTGCAATAACAGTAAATTACATTCTATGGTTTGTGATTTTGACATTTTTATCTTACAAGATGTGAATTTTTTTTTATCACTAAACTTCTTACGAAAAGATATGCGACCTAGTATGGTTAGGTCTAATGTTGACTGGCGTTTTTTTTCTCGAACAAATAAATAATAAAGGCCATTATTTTCATACAGAATTGTCTACGGATAAGAAAGGACTCACGACGGGTGTGACTTGTCGAGAGAAGATGCTTATTCTTCTCTGGCACCTTATCCTACCTATGATTTTTTATGGGTTCATGTTTGCTCTGCTCTGAATTTGTATTGTATAAATGGACTTTTTGGACATGTTTACTATTATTTTTACATTTTAACAAATAGGTTCAGTAAATTACATCATTTAATAAATATAAACAGTGAAGCTTTTCCACCACCAACACCCCTTGAAAACCGGATCTCCATAAATATCGGCCAATTTCTAAAATCTCTTTACAATAAATTCTCCCAAAACCGGTCATCCCTGTGAACCGGACAGGGGCCAATTTTTTAAATTTATTTTTTAAAAACCAAAGGTAAAAAAACACAAGTAATTTTACCTCATTATACCGGCCATATTTTTATGGCAAGAAAATATAATTGCATTACCAAGATGTGTAATAATGCCTGGTCAGAATGAAATCTGTGATAATTGTTTAATCTCAAAGGGTTCAAATGTTTTTTAGATTGTCAACTTAAATTGAACAACAGTTCCGAGGACTTCTGTCTCAGGACAAAGTAAAGTAATAGGCCATCGGCCAGTAATACATTAAAGGCCATCGGTCTCAACACTTTCCTATGCAGAGATGCCGTTCCTTCCTCTCGTCTTCAAAGGGGCTCGCCTCAAAGTAAAAAAGATATATTCCAAGGATTAAGTCAAATTAAACTATTAATTCTAGATCTATTAAGTAAATATCTATTTTGAAGGACAAAAATTAGATCAAACATTTAATTTGGATGAATTAAAACAAAGCACTATTTCTCTTGCTTATCACTGTGATATACGCGAGGCAACGACAGAGGTGAATGCACGAGCCGATGGTAGAGAGTACGGTTTCACCTTAAGCCCATTAATTAATTATGCAAACTGAACAATGGTCGAGGACACACGCATACTAGGCCATGGACTTCAAATTTCATGTCTAGCAGCCCAGGTCAAATATCTGTTCATCGGCCTAAAATACCTAAGAGGTCATCAATCTAATCTAATAATAAATTTAAGCATACGAAGATCATCAGCCTTAGCACTATAAGTCATCAGCAAACTTACCAACTCAAATGTTATTTAATTAAATTATTACGGTTGTGGTAATTTGATTATTAGTACTTCTATAGACCTGTGCAGTACTTCAAATTTAGACCTGTCACTACTGGCCTAAAAAATTACTGATAGTGCCACTTTTACTGGTAATTTCTGATATTTACTGATGTTATACTGATGGTACTGAGAATTGCTGATATTTGCTGATATTTTTTTTACTGTTGTTACTGAAAATTGCTGTTGGTTCTGATAATTACTGATATTTACTGTCGTTTTTACTGTGGGTTCTGATAATTACTGATATTTGATGAGAGTTAATGTCGGTACTGAGAATTGCTGATAATTACTGAGATTATTTCTCTAGGTTCAGAAGGCTTGAAAATGGTTTATTTATTTATTTATTCATTCAGAAATAACATTACTCTTTTTCATATTTTTGTGAGGAAAATTTCAAGTAGAATTGAACTTTTTTTTAAGAAAAAAAATGATAATACATAATAATTAATACATTTGGTTAATCCATATCTAAGAAACAATATTTATGAGAGGTACATGACTGATAATGAAAGATGAAATTGCACAGGTGAAAAATACATCTACAGGTTATCCTAAAACAGACTGCCTATGCACCTCTCAGGTGTAAAAATCACAATTTTACCCAGATAAGAAGGTGCTCCCCATTACATATCTGTATGCTTTTCGCGATTGGCCGAAGTGGGGCAAACCCAAGCAGATTTAGATTTAGAAAAGAAATTCAAAGATTTTGCTAGGTGGGAATACATCAAAATGAGACCCCCCTCCACTCCAGCCAAAAAGGGGGTATAGGTGGAGTGGTATTAAGGAAAATGAAATTCCATTAAAAATCATTCAGACTCATTCTTACGTTAAATTCAAATAAAAAAAAAAGTATATATGGAAGGGGAGGGGTATGGGCAATCCTGTCCGCGAGTACCTGTGGGCCATATATATATATTTTGAGAAACATTGTCAGTCTTTAATTTTTCCCTCATTTTTTTAATTGTCTGAATGGAAGTTCAGAGGTATACATGTACACTGTACATTTTTAATGCAATAAGTGTCACACAAAAAGTTTTCTTTTTAATTCGTGAAAACAACAAAGCGAAGATGCAATCAATATATATTAATAGTACATGTAAATCATTTCACTCTAATCTTGAAAATTTTATCTAGGTCCCGAAATAACCAGATACCGAGATTATAAGACACCGGCTGGTAATGAAAAAAAATGGCGATGTATTGGTCAGGAAACTATAAAGTTATTAGTTAAAAAGTGAAGGAGAATCACCATATCTTAGAAAAATAAGTCACCGATTCCTACAACTTTGTGGTAGGCCTAGTTTTATGCACTCGATATGGTGCCTCAGCCTACTAGCTTCTTTATGACTTTGTCGGTAATTTTTTGGATCTGCACGTGTAACATGCACATAATGAAGACAACCTTTGGGTTTCACAGAAATGCGTCGACCCACTGGCAGGTTAGTATGCAATGTTGCAAGTGATTTCAGTGTTATTTTTTCAACATTTTTGTGTCAATTTTGACTTACTAATGGAGGTGAAACCACCTTGACTCGTAAGGAAATTCGAGATACACATGTACCTGCAGTGACCTTAGTGACTTGAACGGAAGCTAATACACACTACACAGATAATGCAACATTTTCAAATAAGATTTTAAAAATCTGCTCGTTGAAACTGACATGAATTTCATCAATAAGTGACAATGCAAATAACACATTTGGTTATGAATATCATTTAATATTATTTTTCTACATGAAAAACATGAAATAATTTCCATAAACATGATATATATATCATTGATAATGCAGTATAGTGCAAGTTTCATGATTTTTTTGTTTAAACTATAAATAGACATACAAAGACATAGAGTACTACATGTATAGAAAGTGAATTTCGGTAAATTTATACAAAAAACACATTTCAGTACAGTATAGCCACATTCAAATTCGTAGTAACACACTTCAGTCTTGCTCTTTCATGTTTGTGCATGGATTCGAAGCTGGTAGATGGACTAATACTGACAGATCTTTAAGAATATGTAATTTATGTAATAAAAATACTTTAGGTGATTTATTCCATTATGTAATGGAGTGTCCATACTTTTCTTCATGAAACTTATTGATAAGAAGTATTGTTTTCATGTAAATACTTATAAGTTTGAGAATCTTATGTCCACCACAAATGTTGACTCACTGATAAAGCTGTCTTTGTTTGTTAAAAAGATATTGGCCTGTTTTCAGTAATACTCTTTCATTTGATACTACTCTTCCTTACTTGACTTTGTATTTTGTATATATGTAAATATGTTCATGTACCTCATATACCATTGTACGGTCTGAGAGAAATAAACAAACAACAAAACAACAGGATTCAAAATCAAAAATTACTGTCATTTTGTTGCATGTTTGGATCTAGTGGATTTCTTTCCTTTCTTGGTGTAAGCTGACAAGGGGACATCACTGTCTGAGCTGTCGTCATCATCAGAGAGGTGTATGGCTGTCGTTGGGGTTGAATCTTCTAGATTTTCAGCTCCACGATTGTCTGCTCCTCTGAAAGTTCGAGAAAAATCATTAATAAGATTATTTTGCAAAACATGTAGATTGACTTGCTGAAGGAAGACAAAGAGGCCGGGCTAAAGGATAATGATTTCCTCTTTTCAGATCAAAGCACTGTCACAAGATATTCTTATGATTGCACTGAATTTTAAGTTATGTGAAGAAATAATCAATAGCTACATAAAGATGCATGAGTATAAAGAGTGATTCCTAACAAGGACAGTTTTATGATTTATTCACAGTCTTACACATTTATAATGTTATTTTCACCCTCATTATTTATTGAATGGTTTTTATTTATTCTTTAAATGTAAGGTTTTTTTTTTGGGGGGGGGGGGGGTGTTATGAGATCAAATTTTTCTCTCAGGAGCAGAACTTAACTCGTCTAATCTTTAATAAAATACACATAGAAATAAATAAATTTATATTAGTCAATAGCATTGACAGATGCTTATAATAATAACTTACATATCATGCTCGCCCCTTAACAAGGTGCTTGTTTCGGTTAATGTGTTGGCTCTTCGGTTTCTGGACTTGCACAAGAAGCGATAAACTGATTTTTGTCTATCCTTGACAGCTTCAGTTCTAAAATCAGAAAGACATACATTAATTAGATAATCATAATAAAAAAAATACTGCAGGATTAATTATTTGCACTATAATTTAATATTGTGTTTCCTGGCCATGTTGACAGTGAACAAATGTATATTTCTGAATATAATATACATGTATATCTATTAACAAAATAATCAAAACAATTTACAAATTTAAAATAATATTGGTACATACAGAGTATTGCACATATGTTCCTAATTATCAACATGATCATGGTAATTATAATCTCATCAATTGCATCTTACATGTATAACTGCATCAGTCTTAAATAAATTCTTAATCTAAAAATTTTTGCAATGAAAATACACATGTAGTTTACATTTTTTTTTTAAATCATTTATTTGTCTTAAGTAAATATGATGAGAGTCAGAGCACTTTTATTTATTTATTTTTTTTTAGCTTATAAATTAGAATTTTTGAATTATCAATGCCATGAGTTCTTTGTTAGTTTGTTGTATAATCTATGCAAATTGTAGTGACCAGAGGGACCCAGTGAGTTTATCACCTATTGTTCCCCCTTGCAGTTGTTATGTTAAAATATACAAATCCTAGCACTTGGGTTTTGACCAAAGACTGAGACTAATTTTTTTTTTTTTTTTTTTTTGAAATAAAAGTAAATTTAAAAATTATGTCTATGATAATGTAAAAATGTAATTTACTGTTTTTAAATTTTAAAAAATGAGTAAAGTTTAAAATGCAACTGTTCCTAAAATAAAAAAAAAAGAAATAAAATTACTTACTTCTTCTTCCCATAGAATTTAATCCAATAGATGGCTTTTCGCATACGCTGCTGGACTTTCTGTCGGTTTGATTGAGATTGGTCCATGTCTTTGGTGAAGGATGTCATAATTTCACTGGTTGCTTGCTCCCAACTGGCATCTGTTTTCCCACTGAGATTGTGCTTTTGTATAAAATCATGTACAGATTTCTAAAAGGAAAAAAAAGCAATTTATGTAAAACTTGTCTTCTATGTATAAAACAAAAACAAGATAAGTTCATTGAATTAAATGTATTATGTTTACTATGAAAAATAAATAAGTTTAGGATTAAGACAAGATAAATTTACACTTTTGTTGAATACGTTAAATATTTCCTCCTTGTTCTTTTTTGAACAATTGTCAACAATTAAAGGGTTGTAAATGAATAAGATTTAATGGTTTACAAATGATAATTAAGATAAAATTATCTTATAAGCCCTATATATTAACTCCTCTAAGTCTTTTTAACATTCAAAATAATCGACGTGTAACTCTGCATCATTCACTGATTTTTTTTTTATTTATACCTATATTGATAAACTGTAGTAAAATTTACACACCCCCCCCTCCTTCTATCACAAGATTAATAGATTGAATCTTAGTTAGATTACCATGATGTATATATTAATGTTTCAGCTTATAATAGCTACCCAAGCCCCAATACATTTGTTAACTATATAATCTAATGATAATCAAATTTAATCTGATCCATATTAACAATTTTACAAAATTCTCTATGTCTTGATTAATTAGCATTGTTTTTTATATTCATCATGCATGTTGAATAATATGTTTTTCATGCATGTGTATTATCTAGATATCGAGCTCTGGCTAGGAGATATTCTTTTGTCTCAATATGAATATTGTTATTTTCTAATTGTCAATCTTACTAAATGAACATATACTAATAGAATTCAGAAAATATAAAATTAAATTATTTATTTACCTGCAAAATGTTGTGCTCATAAGTTCCTCTTTTCCAAAATTGCTCGGAATCAAGCCCCTGGGGAACTTCAAGGTCAGTTTGTGTACCAGTGGATGTTTTTGATGCATTACAAGGGCAAGGGTTTCCAACATGGAATCGAACACAACAAATGCAGTTATAGTCACAAGTCTTTGAACTATTTTTGGGCAAATATGATGTACTGTGCTGCACAGAACCAGTTGCACTATAGTTGTAGTCCGCATTGATAAATAACAAATTTTGATAGAAAGTACCATCCATGATGTAGTTTGATACTGATCGAACACTAGCTGTCTCTTCAAAATTGTCCTAACACACTCTGAATATTGTTTGCTTAAAATCTTTGCCTATCACATATTGTAATGAACTTCTCCTAATCATGATAATTTATATACTCTTTCAATTATGGGAACTCTGTGATTAACTTAATCAGTGGACAGTTCAAACAACTTAATTCATGCAGGTAAATTCTTCTTGATCTCTAATTGGGAAATTTTGTTAATAATTTAATAACTTAAACTGACCTTTAAAGTTCCTGGCCAAAAAAAAAAAATGCATGCATGCATATTTCAGCTAACAATATAAAAGTATAAAAACAACTTAACATATGTACCGATATGTGGGATGCTAGCATGTGTTTATGCTCTTTTGTCATCAATCCTTATTCTAAAAAAATGCACGAGACTGAATTTTTAATATGCATTGAATTGTTTCTGGTTATTAAAAATAACTAATGTCAATGAGTACAAATTGTCATCACAAGAGAAAAATTACATGTAGATCTTTATTTTAAAAACAAATTAGGTATGGAATGATTAAGAAGTTGTTACTTTTAAAAGTTTGAAAATATCAGGGACCTATATACTAACTACGTTAGTATATAGGTCCCTGAAAATATATTGGCTCATTAAAAGTTCTGTTGCATTTGAATGGTCAGGAATGTGATGTGCTGTTAGTGGGGAAATCCATAATACAGGCATTATCAGCACTTGTTCAGAATTACATGTACATATATAATCACAATGTTTAATGATCAACAATATACTTGTGTATGTAAATGCATGTAATTTGTTAAAGGTATGAGAAAATATATAAACCGACCGGGACCTCGGTTTATACGGTCTTATGCAAAGGACTGGTCTACGCCCCGCGTCACATAGTGGATTCGAACCCACTACACAAGGATCAGATCCTTTCTCAGCGACTCTAGAGCAAACCCTCTAATCCCTGTGCCACGCGGGCGACTGCCTACTGGTACTTAGCTGAAAAGGTCTCAAAAGGAAAATTTAGAATAAATATTAAAATTATTTGCCATGTGTGTTGGTTTGATATAAATGTGAATTATGCGTCATATGTAATGTTTTCCTATGAAAATTAATTAAATTTGTCTGATCTTTTCTTATTGTCAACAATATGAAAAATTCCGTCATAGAATATAAAGGGCACTTGAAATGTAAGGCAATATTCTTAATATTCCTTAAATGTCTTTACATCAATACATTTTTCCTTGTATGTACAGGAATAATTACAAATCATATTTAAGATAGCCGTGTAAGATATAAAGCATATCTAAATAGCGTGATTTTATATTATTTAGCTTTAACAAATGATTTGAAATGATGAATAAATTTTGCGAGTTCTTCAAGGCAGATATTAAGAAATAAAGATATTGAGCCTCCTAATTACAATTTTTTTTCAATTTGACACATCAGTTTTAGTTGTTTTCTTTTATTTTATTGATGACAGCTATTTTACTTTTCCTATTTACGTCATATCAAGGTGTCATTCTTCTAAGATGTCATTATCAAAGGTCAAATCTCCACGGAGGTTCTAAATATTTAAAGGAAAGTGCAAATATGTTCTTAGTTCAACGAGTAATATCCATACAATGTTTATTGATGCATTATCGCAGATATATATATATTTTTTTGTTGTTTAACATCTCTCTCGAGAATTTTTCACACATATGGAGACGCCGCCACTTGCCAACGGAGGGCTTTACTCGGCACTCAGGGCCATTGAGCAGTAAGGCATCTTTTTCGCGCCAGCACCTACTGTGACATGGGACCTCGACTTAAACTGTCTCAACCGAGGGACCGGTCTCCACGTCCCGCAGAGAAATTCGAACCCACGACGTAAGGATTAACTCCTTACACCGCAACACTCTAACCACTGCGCCACGCCGGCGACTTCTCGCAGATATAGATTATAAATACTTACCCAAGCCAATGATAATGAATCTAGAACATCTTTTCTCGGCTTTATATTCTTTTGAGGTTGATGTCAAGATGAAAAAATGGAATATTTCCAACAATACAAATGAAAATGCTGATATGTAAAAGAAATAAGCTGCTATTTCACCAATGAACCCAAGAATCTACAAATGAAAAAAAAATCAAGAAATAAATTTTAAAGTAAATCAGAAGGAAAAAAGTATAAATTACCCCAACCCCAGCTTTTCTCGGTGTTTTTAAGCAAGTGATGTTTTCATTCATCGTTTATTTAACAGAAAATAATCTACTGTAGCTAAAAAGATATTAGAAGACCCAATTGAGATCTAAGTTTTTGACATAGTAAATTAAAGTATCAAACTTATAGTTTTTTCCGATAGAAAAGTATTTTTACTATTGAAAAGTTTTCAAGATTTTGTCAAAAGTCACTTTGTTATGAAATCCGAATTGCTATATTTATATCATTTATCAAATACGATATTTTTATACTAAAAGGAAACATTTCTTTTACCGCATATTTTCCCCAAACTATCATTTGGAGAGATTTTAATGTTCTAAATCAACAGGCACTTGTTTCGTATATGGGGTATCCCCTTCTTTTTCTTACCAAAAGGTACCTAACTTAATTTCTGACACTCCTCTTCAAGCTCGTATTTTATTTATTTATCAACCATTAACCTTGAAGTCTTTAACATGAAATAGAGGTCTGTGCTTGCTCTGCTCCCGATTTGTATTGTTTCAATGGACTTTTGACTTTAAATTACTGTTCGTAATCTCCATATTTCACTTTTAAGACTATTTTCTTTCCAACAAATTGTTCAAGATGATCTTCGTCAAGCCTTTTTGTTGGAATCCCCCTATTTACATGTATTCCTAGATAATTACCTCAATACATTTTAAGACTTTACAGAACATACACCAACTTCCAGTTAGAGTCATTGTGTACAATAAAACCAGAGGCTACCGACTTTTCATTCTGAGGGCTCTGTTTTTTTTTTTTTTTTTTTTTTTTTTTTTTTGTACAACTATAACCCTAACTGGAAGTCAGTGTATCCTGTGTAAAGTCTGTTGAGGTTATTTTCGAGGAATGAATAAATGAGCGGTTTAAAAGAAGCTCGATAAAGGACGTCTGAAATGATTTATCAGAAAAGAAAAAAAGTCTCTAAAAGTGAACTATGTCATGTTTAAGTAGGCTTATGATTGATAAATTAATAAAATACAAGTTTAGGAGGGTGCCTGAAATAGAATTAGGTACCTTGTGATAAGAAAAAAAGGAATGACTCCAAAAACGAAAGAGTGTCTGTAACCTTATATCAGAAAAAAAAACTCTAACGTAAAATTTCACCTAATAAATCAAACTTTAAAGTAAAGTATCAAGTATCATAGTAGATTGAAAAACAAGGTACAGTATGCTAATTTTACAATGAATCATACTAAAAAAAGTATTATTGTAAAGTACGGTTACGTAATACATGAACGTTAATTTATTCTCACATTTCCTATAGAATACAACTGTGTGATTCAGTTTTACCTTATTTTCCATGCCCGTGTGACACATGAGGAAAACAATGTTGTTCAGGAACAAAACAATGTTGAAACTCAAGTAAAAGACGTAGTGATCACCAATTAAATATCTATAAAAGTGGGTTACAAAAAATTATTGAAGTACTAGTAAATCTATAAAAACATTCAAACCAACCTCCAATAATTCGGAAGGAATGTAAATAACTGTAAATGTAAAAATGTCAACATGAGAGTGTATATTCACATCACAGCCGGGGTATTACTAGTGGGCATTCGCTCACAGACTTCTTGTTTCCATTCTTATGTTGATATGATATGCCCCGGTGAGCTTGAAGTAAAAGATACCACAGAGTCTGACACATCTGTTGCATATTTGGATATTTTACTAGAAAAACACGTTAAGGGTAATCTAACAATCAAGCTTTATGATAAACATGATGACTTCAATTTTTCAATCGTCAACTTCCCTTCCTTATGCAGCAATATACCTTCGTCACCTGCATACGGGGTTTATATCTCTCAGTTGATTAGATACGCAAGAGCATGCATGAACAATTTCTAAAACGAGATAAGTTACTGACAAACAAGTTGATGAAACAAGAATATCAGCTGTCTCGTTTAAAATCATTTCGTAAGTTCTATGGTCGATACAATGACCTTGTGAGCAAATACAATTTATCATTAAATTAAATGCTGACTGATGTTTTTCATATTAATTGTTAGGTCATTATTTACACACTGAATTGTCGACGGATTTTTCCATTATTTCCCGATCTTGACAAGGAGCACAGGGCGGGTTTGACAAGTCGGCAGGGGATGCTCACTCCTCAAGGGCATCTGATCCCACCTCTGATTTTTAAGAGGCCCGTGTTTGCTCTGCTCCGAAATTTGTATTGTTAAATGGACTTTTGAGCTTGAATACTGTTCGTTCTCTCCATATATTTCACCCAGAAAAGCTTTCTATCGGTAGGTGAAAGCTGGGTTTAGTTTGTTTGTTGTTTAACGTCCCTCTCGATAATATTTCACTCATATGGAGATGCCACCACTTGCCGGTGGAGGACTGCAAATGTATACGTATACTTGGCACTCTTGGCCATTGAGCAGTGAGGGATCTTTTTCGTGTCAACACCTGCTGCAACACGGGACCTCGGTTTATACGGTCTCGTCAGGGCTTTAGGCATGCACCCCAAAATTTTTCAGTGAGCTGACTGTCAAGCGATTCTTTTCCTCCAAGGAGTGGTTATCTTCAGTTCGGGAAATCGTGTTAGATCGAACTGTTCCAACAAAGATCTGGCGTAAACAAGAAACCTTCGGTAGTTTTTGGACTATGCAAGAGTTAGTAACTCTTCATCTTCAAGGCTCCGTGGATGATCCTATTGGAATTGACATTCATGCAGAACCTTGTATATACTGAAATCTTTTTGCCGACAAGATCAACTGATCCACATTCATTGTTTTACTAAGGATGCCGCACAGCAGAGAACAAATACAAGGGCTAAAATCTAATCCAACTGAGAGACTTTTATTAGAAACAGAATCTCCTTATATGTATGTAACAACAAGGAGGGGAATTAACACATCCGCTTTCATTGGCGATTTTGGAAGTTCAGGGGTTGCACTATGTGCCTAAACATTTCCTCGCCATGAAGATATGGATAATATGTCTTCAGTTTCATGTAAACCTAAAACATTTTATTTTATTATACTTTCATGCTAAATACTAAACTATGATTGGTTTAGACGCATTTAACAATCCATATTGTTACCCTCAGCGTTAGCAACACACTTGAAAACGGGTAACACAATAAATCATGCGCGTAGTAGAATTCTCAAAACGTCACTTGTGCGTTTGAAAGAAGCCTAATGAACTTGACGTCAATCAAACTTGCGACCGATTTGACTTAATTGAAAACAACAAACGACAGACGAAACATGCTTGCGAGTACAGAAATAGCGAAACTTTAGATGATAAACGACTCTTTGAGCATCAAACAAACAATAAAGAGGTCGGTAATTTTTTTGAAGCTTTTTTTATTGAGAAAATCAGAGTTTGAAAGCTTTCTAAATGTGAACTTAACGACGATCGACAATTTCTTTGCTGAAATCCAAATCAATAAAACATTAAGTATAATAAGATAAATGGTGCCTCTTTTCAGGATAACAGTCGAAATTGACACCCTAAGGAAAACCATTGTCAACCTCCGCGTCATCATTTATATACATGTATAAAATGGAGAGGTGTATGGTAGAAACGTTAAGCCTTACATGCACATGTTAATGTACATTGGGATCGGGTTCCCTTTCCCTTGGCAAATTATTGCTTAAGTATTGGTAACATTGGTAACATGATATATTTATATTGTTTGTTCATTTTTTTACAATAAAGCTACTATAATTCTTAAATCATGCCCCTAAAAGATCTCGATAATAACTCTCTTGTACACCTGTCATTTACATGCAAAAAAATATACATAAATAAATGTAAGAACATTTTTAAAAATTCAGCAGTCAAAGGATGTTTTTATGACTAATTTTACTGCATGCATGAATTTTGTACTTTATCTAATTTATTAAGCTATATAAAATCATTACCTCCAATTTATTGCAAAGATTAAAATGCAGACAAGTAACCCAAATAAAGAGATCACGTGACTTAAAATAACAACCACGGATGCCCGACTGGATGATACATCGAAAGGACTCTGAAAATAGGATTTTAATTAACAAATGGCAAAAAAGATGATACTAATCATGTGAAATAAATCAGACACGGTGTACTTTTCTGAGGAATGATTAAGAGGAATGTCACTTGAATAACGGATTAGAAATATACGTAATAAATTTCAAAAATGTCATACACGTACTGTCATATTAGAGGTAAGTCCTACTATGATTATTAGTACTGGAAGATCACAGTGGCATGTGACGGCATCTGTCACAATAGAAACTATGGAGCAGCTAGTATTCCTCCACGAATAAACATTGGGCTGCCTAGTCAATACACAAACGAATAATATATGTACAACTTAACAATAGTTCAGACTTAAAATGTATTTTCAGGATTATTTAGTTTTTCAAATAACTTTACCTTTTATTTCTTTCCCATGAAAGACATGCATAATCTTCAATATCACGGTGTTTGTCCTTAAAATGATCATGTTCATATCTTTTAGAATGCATTTATAAAAGGATATTTTTAAAAAATAAATCCTTTTGATGAAATAATTTTGAAAATATGAAAACCATAGACATAATATTTCAATAACTAGAGTGTTCCAAAGAACGCATGTGTCGCCTGCTTTGTAGCTTCACTAAAGGTGTACATAAAACTAAGAGGGGTCAGCTTTTTATTTACTATAACATGATAGACTGATAGTTCATGCATATGCCTGCAAAGAGAAAATGGCATCCATGAATGGTATAATTAGACTGCGATAGAATCTGACAATCAAAGAAAATAAGGTACCATTACTCTCAAATGAATAATTTAATAGAAATTATTATAAATGACTATTTTTCATTTTATTTAATACGTGTTTCCAACAATCCTCCGAAAGAGATTTCAGTCTGTCTTATTACAATTGTCAGTCTACACGATCCATTGTTGAATACCGACCCCGACGCATTTTTATGGTATTTAAATACGTTTGTATGGTAACTGAAAAGCATGCAGTTTCAAAGTACTTTTTTATAAGCTAAACGTGTTTCCAATCATCATTCAAAAGAGATTTCTCAGTCTGTCTTTACTGCAGTTCTCAGTCTACAAGACCCATTGCGGAATACCAATCCCGATGTATTCTCTTAGTATTTAAATATTAGTTTGTCCAAACGGTTTCAAAGTACACTATCATGAGCTCATAAACATGTACATGTATAAATGCTAATTACCTATACCCTGCCTCTCAAAAGTCATAGGTTTAATTAAACTGCCCGAGATATTTTTGCGAAGTAGGTCAAGGTCAAGTGGATTGTAATGCTGGATTTTTTTTCCATATTGTCTTATGACAAACAGTGCACATGCTAGATAGCATAGACTTACTTCTTCAATGTCAAAAATATGCTGTATATCGGCACTATGAAATATTTTGAAAAGTAGGTCAAAGGCCAAGGTCAAAGGTCACGAGTTCAATAACCATGGTAATTGACAAAAACCATAGTGCCAAGCATTATATGTACAAAATATCAAATCCATACCTCTTACAGTTCTTGAGATATAATGTGTGACAGACGGACAGACAGACGCCGGGTAAAGTGATCCCTTAGTGCCGCTCTGCTCTGGAGGCGACACAAAAACGAAGAAAACTTCACGTTTTAAAAATTACATACTTACAATATTTACAGTTATATTAGCTGATACGACATTCAAAGATGGTGATAATTCTGATGGTACACTCTGTTCAATGTACACGGCTACCAGATCCGATACAAAAACCATTTCAGGTATTCTGTATTGAGACAACATCGATATAGCATTCAGTCGTTTATGGAATTGAAATATCTTAATTGAACTTGATTTTGTAATTTTACATATTCTTCAGTTAAATTTAAAATATATTATTCAGTTTTCATAAAGTCTATTTAACATTTCAATGAATATTGGCTAAATCATTGTATTGACTTTAACAACAGCAATAATTCTTTTATTATATGATTAAATGATATAAAGTAATAAAGTAGTCTATGCCATTTGCTGTAGTCTAAACCAAACGCAAATGAGTGAAGTGGGGTTAAAATAAACATAACCAGTTGCATTAACTTGGCATTTTGAAAATCTATTTCAAGTGCGATGTAGAAAAAAAATTAAATGTCAGACACGTATACGAACGATTTTGAAAAGGGAGGGGGCATTATAAGAAAGAGAAATTGACAACTTACAAAAAAAATCTTGACTAGCCCCCTCCCCCCCCCCCTTCCCAAGGAGAATTATCCAAACTCCTAATTTTATTTCGGGGTAAGTCAGGGTCTATTAATAGGGTCTTTGGAGGGGGCAACCAGCCATTCAATGAACATATTCATACTATGTGAAAAGTTAAGATTTACGTTCAGAAAGAAGTGTGTTTGAGGAAGGGAAGACCCCCTACACCCCCATCCCAATGCCAAATGCCTAAATGTTATGTTCTACTGAGTGGAAGTCGGGTGTCAGTGAAATAACTTTCCAAAACTATTTGTATCAGTTTTGAATTTCCAGATCTATTTTTAGTCCAATGTTGAAAAAAGTAAATTCTTATGTTCACCTTGTGTAGGTGAACATAACGTAGTACTTTTTTTTACAATGTTGGATCTCAGCTAATCAGAGAGCTAAGAATTATTCAATCATATAATAAATTGGTTGATTTTTTTTTAATTCCTCTGATCAAATCTGAATTAATAATATTCATTTGCAATATTTTACACAACAATGACATTTTCAAATAATATTTACTTTCAACAAACTTACCTTAAAGGCCATTGGGCAGATAGATGGCTTTCAAGATTTTGGAATCTAAATGATGTCAGATTCACACCTGTTTACAAATAAAATAGAAGAATTTTGAGGTAATGTACAAACATGCTTTAATTGTTTGTTAAAAACAATTTTATTGATAACAACACATTGTTCATCACCATGAGAGTTGTTTGATACGAAAGACTTGCTTCTTTGGCTTCCAAGTTCCTCTACTTCTGAAAACCAACAAGATTTCTCATTAATACTAAGCCTGGAGTAAATGTCGTGAAAGTTTATTTTGCATGATTTCAATGTTCTACCAATATTGTCTGTCATGATGCTATTTCCACTTCCAGCCTCTACATGGAACAATTGTTTAAAGGATCTACGGGCCAAATACGCCGACATATGTAAAATATTTATTCCTAGGGTCAGTCTCTATGAAAGGAAAAATAAATGTATTTTATAACACTTTTTTTATGTAGTAAGTTGAAAAAAAAAATAATACTATGAAAATTCTGTCACCTTCCAATCAGAAGCATTCGTCTTTTCTTTTCGTTATCTGATTATGTACTAATGTACCTGCTTTATTTTCAATGGTAAATCCTTCGTTACCGTCAGAAGACGATCCATTATATTTATGATATCCTGAGGAAAAATATAAACTTTTATCAAACAAGCGATTTAAATTTTTCAGGAAAAGGTTCATCTTGAGTGGATATCACAGTATTTACGATTTCCCTTCATCAACTTACGTACTTCAAATGAAATTCTGTCATCAGTTGTGGCTACTTCTGGAAAAGCCCACATATACTCCAAAATCCGCCGTAAAACACTTGTAAGGAGTTCAGCGTCACCAACATTTATTGTCGTGTTCTGGATTTGAGCAAAGTAGTATAGCTCTTTTAAAATCTTTGTTATTGTTGTGGAACGATATCCCTGGCGAAGTACCTCCACCTAAAATACGAATGCATTAATATTTATCATCAAATGGATAAGCTTGATATATGATCATTCCTCAGTAGATGGTGACATATGATTCTCTAGTTCAGTTTAGTTGTCAGCATACCTTGTCATATATTTCAATCAAGTCATTGGATTGACATTTAAGGAGATTTGGTTCATTCCATCTACAGATTTTACTGCTATTGTCACAAATACAGGAGCGCTCCGAAAAACCTAAAAACCGTTTACTGAACTAAGAATAAGTAATAGAACAATTGATTTTACGAAATTGTGAGAAAAGTGGAGCAATATCATCTATTCATTTACTAGTAAAGAGAAAAAAGGCTTAAATGAATACAACGATAAATGAGCAATAGCTGGTTTGCTTCGAGAAAATGAACAATTTTAAGATAGGAAAAAACATTTAAATTCTAAACTTGCAAACTACCTCCAAATTTAGGAGGACAACTCTGTTTTGTAAAATGACCATTCTCTGTTTCCGGCCATAGAATATCCAAGTATACTTCTGCAGGACAAACCAGATGTATATCTATAAATAAACAACATTGTAATAGATTTCTACTGATTTCCCATCATGAAAATTAAAACAATCTTTGGTAACACTATGTTGAAGGTATCATGTTTTTCAGGTATCTTATACCTGCTGTCAAATTCTAAAAAGAAATATTTAAAAAAACAAGAGGCCCAAGGGCCTTAACGGTCACCTGAGTATAATACAACAATTTAGAAGTTAAATACACTGATAGATGAAGCATTGTTGCCCTAGCCCCCCCCCCCCCCTCCTCAAGAACCCCAAAAACTGAGGCCATATATTTAAAAATTTTGGAAGAGGCATCCTTGTCTATCATAATCATGCACTTAGTTTGTTTAAATAATCTCCAGTAGCAGAGAAGTTTTTCAAAGAATCAATGCATTTTCACTATATAATCAATAGAGCCCCGCCCTAACACCAGAACCCCTGACCCTGGGGCCATGAAATTCACAATTCTTGAAAAGGCATCCTTATGCGTTTAAATAGTCTCCAGTAGCAGAGAAGAAGATTTTCAAAGAATCAATGCATTTTCACTATATAATCAATACAGCCCCACCCTAACACCAGAACCCCTGACCCTGGGGCCATGAAATTCACAATTTTTGAAAAGGCATCCTTATGCATCATAACCATGCACTTAGTTTGTTTAAATAATACCCAGGAGCAGAGAAGAAGATTTTCAAAAAATTAAAGCATTTTTACTATATAATCAATAGAGCCCCGCCCTAACACCAGAACCCCTGACCCAGGGGCCATGGCTTTCACAATTCTGGAAGAGGCCCACCTCCTCATCATAACTACGTACTTAGTTACTTTATTAAATACCCAGGAGCAAAGAAGAAGATTTTCGAAGAATTAATGCATTTTCACTATATAATTTATAGAGCCCTGCCCTAACACCAGAACCCCTGACCCTGGGGCCATGAATTTCACAATTTTGGAAGAGGCACTCTTGCTCATCATAACTATGTACTTAGTTCCTTTATTTAATACCCAGGAGCAGAGAAGAAGATTTTCAAAGAATTAATGCATTTTCACTATATAATCAATACAGCCCCACCCTAACACCAGAACCCCTGACCCTGGGGCCATGAATTTCACAATTTTGGAAGAGGCACTCTTGCTCATCATAACTATGTACTTGGTAACTTTATTTAATACCCAGGAGCAGAGAAGAAGATTTTCAAAGAATTAATGCACTTTCACTATATGATCTATATAGCCCCACCCTGGGGCCAGAACCCCTGACCCTGGGGCAATAAATTTCACAATTTTGGAAGAGGCACTCTTGCTCATCATAACTATGTACTTAGTTCCTTTATTTAATACCCAGGAGCAGAGAAGAAGATTTTCAAAGAATTAATGCATTTTCACTATATGATCTATATAGCCCCACCCTGGGGCCAGAACCCCTGACCCTGGGGCCATGAATTTCACAATTTTGGAAGAGGCACTCTTGCTCATCATAACTATGTACTTAGTTCCTTTATTTAATACCCAGGAGCAGAGAAGAAGATTTTCAAAGAATTAATGCATTTTCACTATATAATCAATACAGCCCCACCCTAACACCAGAACCCCTGACCCTGGGGCCATGAATTTCACAATTTTGGAAGAGACAGTCTTGCTCATCATAACTATGTACTTAGTAACTTTATTTAATACCCAGGAGCAGAGAAGAAGATTTTCAAAGAATTTATGCACTTTCACTATATGATCTATATAGCCCCACCCTGGGGCCAGAACCCCTAACCCTGGGGCCATGAATTTCACAATTTTGGTAGAGGGCTCAATGCTTATTACAATGATGCCAACAGTTTGACTGCTTCATGTCCGGGAGTAAAGAAGAAGATTTTTAAAGATTGCATTATTTTTGGTGGTTTTAGCCCCACCCCTCAGGCCCCGGGGGGGCAGGGACCATGAAATTCACAATTTTTGTTCCCCTTCACCCATAGATGCTATATACCAAATTTGGTTGAAATTGGTTGAGCGGTTCTAGAGAAGAAGTTAAAAATGTTCAAAAGTTAACGCACGACGGACGACGCACGACGACGGACAAAAACAGATAGCAATAGGTCACCTGAGTGACTCAGGTGACCTAAAAAGTGCTACCTCTTCTTTAAAATGGGTATTTTCTTGGCACCAGATCCTCGGGGGGGGGGGGGGGGGGTATTTGCACTGCTCTACATTTGTATTGTTTAATTGGACTTTTGAACAGGATCACTGTTCATTATCTTTACATTTCATTCACAGTTAAATTACATTCTAGGTTATAAATAGAACATTACTAGAAACCTTGCATTCTATTGTAGAATGGGCCACTTTCAACGCTGCTCTATTCGATTTTAAAGCAGAATGTGCAACTTTTTTTTAAATGCAAAATATCAAACTTTCAGAAACATTCCCATTTTTTTCCATGGCAACAGCAGCATTTATGGAAATTTGAAACCCCAACAACATGAGAGACATACATTAATATTTCTTATTAGAAGAAGAAAAAAAAATCGAATTAAGAAGACATTCCTGGTTTTTGTTTCTTTTTTAATATTATATCAGTGCATACTATCTATTCAAAATATATTATAAAGTCAGGTACTCTTCACACAATTGCTCTGTAAAAATATAGTTCCATTCATGATCAGCAGATACAACATTACGACAAATGTTTAGAATATCGATGTGTATGTTGCACATGGAAGACAACAAAATTAACCTAATATGATTTTAAGAAAATCATTTTATCCCCAGAAATTTAAATAAGAAGTATTCATATTCCTACGCGAGCTGCCTCCTCAGCCTTTTTCCCGAAAATATGTAGGTCATTTTTCGATTGACAATCTTTTCACAAATTACAATACTTTCATGATTACTGTTCGTTAATTATCAAACAATTTCTTATGATAGACAATGATAATCATTGTGTGTGTGTGTGTGTTTTCTTTTTTGAACTGTTTACTGACGGAATGGTTATATAACAGCTGCAATCGCAACTTCTCAGTACTTCCCGACAACCGAAAAAAAAAACGAGTTTAGATGCAATTGACTTTCTGATCGAACGTGTTTAGATGCGATTGACTTTCTGATCGCACGTGTGTAGACCTGGACTATTTGGTCTTGCAATCACAGGTGTGTGCCCTGTTTGCTAGTGACGCAATACTGGTGACAGTATTTGCTACGGATTGAAGAACTAGTTTCATAACAAGTGCATTTTTTTTTCTTTTAGAGATCAGCTGAGCAAAGTACGTGAAAATTCGAGTAAAATTAAAAGTCGAATATCTTGGATATGGGGTAACCCGTATCTATTCTTGTTTAAGAAGTCATTTGAACTTGAAAAGTACAGATAAAGAACAGTAATCAATCTCATACGTCCAGTAAAAAAAAAAAAGAATCCTGAATAGGGGCAAAAAAAGACCTCTGAGAACAACAGAGGTGGGAGCAGGTGTATGGGAGGAATAAGCATCCCCTGTCAACCCGTCACACCCGCCGTGAGCCTTATGTTTTCATCAGGTAAATGAAGTAATCGGTAGCGAAATTGCAATAAAACTGATGACCTCACAATTGGTGGAAAACTTGGTCAAAATAGCCCTACGATAGGTTGTATAATTTTTAAACAAGGTCATTATAACAACCAGAGTAGTTTAAAACACTGTACTATTAACTTCTTTGTCAGTTTCCTGCCTCTGTTTAAAAATTCAAAACTTGCTTTTAAGTATAGAATTAGAAAGAAATAAACTCCATTTGCAGGTGATGCGAAATATTACTAATGAAAGAAAACTTAAAAAGTTTCAAAAGATATGGCTGGGAAGTTTCCTAGAAAAATGAGATTTTAAAATTTCCTCTGTTTCAATGCAAACGTGGTGAACATTAATACTGTGAAGTTTCAATCAGATTTTACAAGCCATGTGAAAGACCTCCTGCAAACAAAATTACAACTGGATCAATAACAATATACCCCCCCCCCCCCCAAGAAAATCACACACTACAGGACGGGAGTTGCATTCTGTTACCTTTGACCTTTAAATGAATAAGAAAGCTTTACCTTTGGCGACAAAGATATGTATTGTTACATTTCTCTCTCCTACTTGGTTCGTCACCTGGCAGGTAAAATTTGTATTCTGTGTTATTCCTTTAGCAACCAACTGACTCCCAGCTGGTAATAGCGTCTCCGGTATGCGGTTAGGTGTATGCCATTTTATTGGAACTCCATTTTCAAACCATTTGTATTGAAATGAATTATATGGCTCATTGATGGAAAAACATGGAATTCGAATCGAGTTATTAGCTGATATAATTAGCTGTCTATTTGGTACATAGATCAGAGGGCTCGACAGAACAACTATATGTATAGAACGGCGTTTTTCTGTTGTCCCAGCGGTGGCTACACAAGTGAATTGTCCTATTTTGGGGAAAATAAAAAAAACGATAAATGTAACATTTCACTCGTACAGGATTTTCAAGATATGATTCATGAAGTAGATACTTGTACAATTCTGTTTCTAAAAAATTTAGCCAAGTGACAAATGATTGCATATTTGCAGATACATATAGTTTTCGTATGACGTATTTCCAACCAAGTTATTACGTTGGCTGCAATCTTGGAGGTGAAAGTGCAGCTAGTGAAATTTCCTCTTTAATTTACAAAAACTAAACTTGTGTAGCAGGAATATATGGGAAGCAATCTTTACAATATAAAAAAAATGAGAAAAAGAAGGCCTTAGCAAACGTGTATTCTTCATAAAAACAAAGTTTTCTATACCTCAAAGGCCAGTATAACAACTTTAAAGTTGTTGAATAATGAAGGAATTCTCCAATTTGGTGGCCAACGAGAAATAACTCTTACTAAATTAACATTTTTCTAAAACTGTTTACCTACCTTCATCATATTTCTTTACTTGAGCATAATATAAAACCGAACGTATAATTCCTTCAGTATTGGACATAACCACTCTATGGTAGGCACTACGAGGAGAGATCGAGAAATCTACCAGCATACCATCCTTGTACCATCTGAATCTGGTGGAATTATCTCCCTTTACAATACATGAAATGGTTAAAAACTGGTTTTCGTTTGTGTAAGCTTCATAACCTGCTCCACCATTCCCCGTAACCATTTCGACGATTTGCAATTCTACAGAAAAAAAAGTAAATAAATCGGTTTATTTGGACTGGTAGAGTGTGTTCGAAGTATTTTTTTCGTCTGGAATTCATTTTTTGTTCAACCACAGAATTTACAATAGATTTACAGATATTTTTAACATCTTCAATATCCAAACTTTATTTTGGCAAAAAATCAACAAAGCTTGTAAATCAAGGAACAATTTACCTTCGACTATCGAATAAGTCAATTTATTTCCCCCATTTATATCTTCGGGTAAGTTATTGCGAAGTCTATTAATTACTTCAATCGTAGTGTTCTTGTCATGACTGTCTATCGTAAAACGTAGTTCTTCCATTTTTAGCACTTCTGATCTAAGGAAAGAAGTATTTTTCCCAAGGGGGAAATGGAATTTTAATTATGAAATCAAAGAAATACACTTAAATGTGCAATTGAAGGATTTAAAAAAAACATACTTCACAATAATGGTTAATTTTCAATACTAATGATAGTGACTGAACTTAAAATTAAAAAAAAAAAATTTTTACACCTTTTAGTATCCTCGGTAAAATACTTCTTGCTTTCAATTTTGTGTTGATGTAGTTGACTTAAAATCTGTATTGAAAATAATTTTAAAAAGAGTAAGAATCAAGGTAGCCAATAAGCAGTGGTTAGTCCTAATCTAATGATTTGTTTCTCCTCAATCGATTGTAAATGTAGAATATGAAATACTTACATAAGAAAAAATATCACTTTTATTATTTGCTGATTCATTGGACAATTGTTCTCCCCATTCAATGTGAATATTTACAATCACTTTTTCTGTAAATGCATATATTAGTTAAATTACTGTTTCAAAGTTACACATAAATGTTGTTCTCATTAATGTGTATCCAGACACCTTTATACTAAGTATATGTATCTGGTAAATCTTATCAATAGCATCAGATAAATAAAAGACAATTAACACAATGTTTTATTCTACATCAATTTAAGCATTAATTTTTGTTTCATAACTGGCATTTAAATTAAATAACATAGTAAGTCCCTTATGAAATTTTTGCATTACTATGGTATTTTTCTATTAAATATCATTAAGAATGTGTAGAAAGCAAGCTGAAGTGAAAAACGTGTCATGAATTCACGTATTTTCATTAGTAGAAGAAAGAAGGCCTTTACAGGATATCGATTAATAATTGCTTGATTATCTGATTGCCTCATTGTGCTCACAAAAAGTCTCGTGATTATTAGATACCTTGTACTGAACACGTTGTTCCATCATTGTTCAGTCGGTACCCGTCCTGACATCCACAACCCATTTTCCCTGGAAGAATCTCCAAACAGATTTGATCACATGCTAAGTAGTAACATTCTGAAACATGAATATGGCTCACTTTTCAATTTGCATATTTTTGTACTCAAAAATATATATAGTTCATTTTAAAACAAGAAATATTCTTTATTTTAACTAATCTGGTTTCCTGATATTTATTGCTAGTTTCTGCAGGGAAACCAGTAATTTTGAAAAATTTAACATTTACATGTATGAATATGTCGTTCTGCTTTGACAATATATGTATATACCTTATGTCCCTCAAATATATATTTAGATTGCTCTGTGAAATACAGTTAATATCATCTACCTTATATTGTCACCTGAGAATTACAATGTTCTTAATGTTTCTGGATTTTGCAAAATTCTGGGGAAATTTTGTAAAAGTGAGGATCAATCAGTTAAGGCTATTATTTTAGTTTTATTATGCTCTATCTCTAGAGGGAAATAATTTGCTGGGTTTTTTTCATATTGAATTTCAGTTATAATTAATATACAAACATTGCATTTCTCAAGGTTATGTTTTTTGAGAAAGAGAACAGAGTAACTAATATTTTATCCATGTATTTACACCTGTTATAAAGGTAACATACCATCTTGTTTGATTTCGCACCATTCTCCAGTGTATCCGTACGGACATTCACAAATATAATTTAAGGAACCATTCAAATAGCTATAAAAACATACATTTTATGTTGAAAACATCAAAAATACAAAAATTACAAAATATTGAAAATGTGACAAGTTTATATATTTATTTCTGAAAAAAAATTCAAGTGTTAGTTAACATTTTATTTTATTTATTTTTTTTAGGGTTTTTAAAAAAAAAGAAAAAAAAAAAAAGAATGAAATATGAAGATAACGAACAGTATTCAATCTCGAAAGTCCAATGAAACGATACAGATACAAAACAACTTTTTTTTCACTTTTGCATTCTGCTCTGTTTTAATCATACAGTGAAAAAAAACTTGTATGATAGCGTACATGTAGGTACTAAGGATCATAGTTACGCAGTTGAAAGGGAATATCGCTTACATTGTATATACATGTATTAGGTTATATGTCGAATAAAGTAAAGGAAAATACTCATTTAAGTTTTTGCTCAGTATTGATCATTCATAGGGTGGTTTAATGATTTTCAAGATGATTTAGAGGTATGTTGTTGCCCATGTTGTCAAGTAGATGAGCAAAATGCACGCCAGTCCATTTGTGTTTTAAGAGATTCCATATAAAATAAAAAAAAAATGTTACATGTGATTAGTAAAAATGTCTACATAATTTCCTCTTTTAAATAAAAAATTAATAATAATAAATGAATAAAAAGGGGAAAGAAAAAACACAATCCCATTGCTTTTCATTGTCACTTGCAGTTGAGTTTTTAAGTATCAATATTTTCAAAATATAAATAAATAAATAAATTATTTTAAAAATAAAAAAAATTACTTAGAAACAATTTAGAATAACGAAAGAAAATAAATGCAAATTAACAGAATCAGTATTAAGGGAAAATACGATAGTATACACCTCTCTGAAATTATTAGATTTTCCCGCCAGGCGGGTAGCCAATTACGTGGTCTGTCTAAATCAGTCAACCACTCTAAACGACTATTTTACCATGCCTATTCTGTCTCTCAAAAGTCTAAAATTGTTTTTAAGTGGGTTCGTCATACAACGATATTGGACAGATCCTTTCTCATTTTTGAGTGTTTGTCCGCATTTTGTACAAAAACAGAACAGTCCTCGAATATGGTTGCGTAAAAAACTTATAAAGTGTAAGAAAAATGCGATCAAAAGGGCCGAATATACACATCGAAATCGTCAAAATTTACTAGCTTCCGGGGGCTTCGCCGCCCTGGGCCTTAAGGCGGCCCCCAAACCCCCTGCCTACTCGGGCGTCCACATCAAAAGTACCCTGCCTACGCCCCTGCCTTTTCCCCCTGTGTCATTGACCTTGTCCTAATGACCTTGTGAGTTGAGCTGGTGCAGTTGTTTTATAGATGAACAAGTAATATTTTAGTGTCCCTTTCAAAGATTGTGACAGATGGACAGACACGAAAACGCAATGTGTATAGCGCTTGTTTTATTTATTTATTTATTAACTTTATTTATTATTATTATTATTATTGCGAAGGTTGGGACATGCTGTAATTACATGACTCTGAAGGATTAATAAAATTGATGAGTCTTTATATATTTTATATATGTAGGCCCCGCCCCGCTCCTAGACCTCAAACCCTTTCTCCAGAGACATTAATTCTATTACTTTGCAAGAAAATAAATTTTCATAAAATGAATAATTTTGTCCAACCAAAAAAGACCAACCAGAGTGTCGATTTTTTTAGTATGAACGGTTGCTTCAGTAGATTTCTGGAAAAAATCAAATATTTTAAGGAATTTCAATATATGGTCAAAAAAGCCCACACTGGCCTCATGCGCTTTAAGTTTAACAATTTAAGGAAAGAGCTCATTACTTAATTACAGTATATAGTTTGTCCGTTAGATGCCCGAGGCACATAAAGATAAAGGATGACTGCATTTAAGACAAAATAAACTTTCAAAACTATCATTTTTCTTATCATTGCAAGAATGGTCAACATCCTATCTAAAACTTTATGTAATTACGCTTAATAAAAGTGTGTATTTACGAAGTTCGAGTCTGTTTTCAAAGGCAGGGGTCATCACAATTTCTTGAATCTCCGTTCGATAATGAGGACGCCCACTTTTTTACTGACTGTATACATAGTCAGCGCATGTTTGTCTATTGTTTTACGTTTAACAGAAGTTGTATATTTGCATAAATAATACTTTGTCAAAAGGAGAATAATAGACGAACATGCGCTCATGGTTAAAGAGAGGAAAAACTGCTTCTTCCTACATTCGCTCTCTGTGTTGTAACCAAGGATTGTGACATGTTGAATATTATAATTCACCACGTGATTTCTTACCTCAGGTAACTTTGTGAATACTAAAATCCGTTACATGACTTGTAAGGTTTGTGCTAACTAGGACATTGTGTTCGAACACGTAAGTCATCTGACATTGATATAAAATCTGCTTTAATTACATTGACGTGCTTATATTGTTAATTTCGTTTTGGAACCTTTGTCGGAAGTGTGTTTGTGCCATACATTATGGAGAGGGAGATTGGAAAAAGTGATCACGTTCTTTTTTCCAAACATGTCATTGTTATTTATCAAGTCTAACTTTAGACCCATTCTTACAATGTTAGCTCCACCTCTTATGCATATGTAATGTTCAATCAAGGGCAGGTAAGTGTAAATTCACTATATTTGGAAAGCAGTAAGGACAAAAAACTTGAATCATTTTATTGTATCACAGTATAAAATCATTTTAAGATTTAAATTTGGTTCCAAATTGACAGGATTCTTTCATAAACATACAAAAGTGAAATAAGGTTTAGACATAAAAGCAACAGAAGCAACCGAAAAAGACCCCAAAACAGGCGTTAATTGAGTCATCCTTTGAATTTTCAGTTCATTTAGACAGGTGCTTCTTCAATAAAAATGGAACTCGAAAATTTTCGTATTTTCTTCATCCCTTTGTGGAGTGTACTCAAATTGAGTGTCAGTACTCCAGTAATTCTGTGGTGAACAGTTAAAAACCTATGTATATTTGTATTGAAAGGTGTAAAAAGTTAAAAAAAAAAAAAAGTGGACAGTTTAGTGGTGTAAAATCTCAGACACGCTGATGGACTGTATAGCGTGTCGGAGGTGTCCACTGATGGTGAATTCCTAATTGTGGCTGGTATATTGTTCCATGTTATGATAGTTGCTGGAATAACTAATGAATACATGTACTTGTAAACATCAACCCTGTATTGATTTGGCGGACTCTGTTTACCACAAGAGGCCCAAGGGCCTTAACGGTCACCTGAGTATCATACAACAATTTAGAGAATCCATAGAGTATAAAATGAACTAAAAGGTGAACGTTTGTTGCCCAAATGCAAGAAAAATAGGGTGATCAGGATCAACAAAATAATTAGTCTAGTATTCATTAACAGTTCATAAATTAGGTTCTAATCTCTTCCCCATTTATCACTCTCACCATAAGTATATTAACAAACTATCAGTGCTTCTGTAATATTTTAATTCCTTGTTGAAATCTCTTACATTAGCCTCTCTTGGTCTTTGATGAACATTTCATAAGACAAGTTATTTTTGTCTCATTTTTATTTATCTACTACTTACAAGTCTACCTGATCATTAAAACTAAAAAAGTACTTTTTGTATTATACAATAACAATTCTTGCATAATTCTCCTATTCTATTAACCTTTCAAGTACATTATTTACAGTGATTAATTATCAAAAGTAAATGGCAAAGGGGAATAACTCCTCTCAGTAGAATACAAATTAATAGAGCCATGGCCAGGACCAGAACACTTGAACAAATGGTCCAGATGTTCAAAAATCTGGTAAAAATACCCTTCCTTATTAAAACTTTTACTCTTTTTGCCTCTGCTTTGCCCAGGTGCAGAGAAGATTTTAAAAATTTATATGCATTTTACTACAGATTCACTATATTCACTATATTATCAATAGAGCCCCCCCCCCCCCTCCCCACCGAGAAACACCAGAGCCTCTTACCCTGGGACCAGAAGTTTGCTCATCATAAGTAATCACTTTGTTTGTCTGCTTAACACTAAGAGCAGACAGGATTATTTAATAGAATTAATGCATTTTCACTATATTATCAAGAGCCCCACCCTTACACCAGCACATCTGACCCAGGGGGTCATGAAATTTACTACTCTGGAAGAAGCACTCTTGCTCATCATAACTATACACTTAGCTTCTTTGCTTTTTAACCAGAATATTTTCAAAGAAATTTTGCTTTTTCGCTATATAATCAATAGAACCCCCCCCCCCTTTTCACCAGAACCCTTGACCCTGGGGCAATGAATTTCACAAATTTGGTAGAGTCAGCCTATCATAACTATGTATTTAATTTGTTTAAATAATACCCAGGAGTAGAGAAGAAGATTTTCAAAGAAATTTTGCTTTCTCAATACATAATTAATAGAGCCCCCCCCCCTTTTCACCAGAACCCTTGATCCTGGGGCCATGAAATTCAAAATTTTCGAAGAGGCATCCTTGCATATCATAACCATGTATTTAATTTGTTTAAATAATACCCAGGGGCAGAGAAGAAGATTTTTAAAGAAATAATGCACTTTCAGTATATGATCTATATAGCCTCGCGCTAGCACCAGAACCCCTTACCCTGGGGCAATGAATTTCACAATTTTGGTACAGTCACCCTTGCTTATCATAACAATGTATTCAATTTGTTTAAATAATAACAAGGAGTAGAGAAGAAGATTTTCAAAGAAATTTTGCTTTTTCACTATATAATCAATAGAGCCCCCCCCCCCAACCTTTTCACCAGAACCCCTGACCTTGGGGCCATGAATTTCACAATTTTGGTAGAGTCACCCTTGCTTATCATAACTATGTGTTCAATATGTTTCAATAATACCCAGGAGTAGAGAAGAAGATTTTCAAAGAATTAATGCACTTTCACTATATGATCTATATAGCCCCACCCTAACACCAGAACCCCTTACCGTAGGGCCATGAATTTCACAACTTTGGTAGAGTCACCCTTGCTTATCATAACTATGTGTTCAATATGTTTCAATAATACCCAGGAGTAGAGAAGAAGATTTTCAAAGAATTAATGCACTTTCACTATATGATCTATATAGCCCCGCCCTAGCACCAGAACCCCTGACCCTGGGGCCATGAATTTCACAATTTTGGTAGAGTCACCCTTGCTTATCATAACTATGTTTTCAATTTGTTTCAATAATACCCAGGAGTAGAGAAGAAGATTTTCAAAGAAATAATGCACTTTCACTATATGATCTATATAGCCCCACCCTAGCACCAGAACCCCTGACCCTGGGGCCATGAATTTCACAATTTTGGTAGAGGGCTCAATGCTTATTACAATCATGCCAACAGATTGACCCCTTGTTGTCCAGGAGTAAAGAAGAAGATTTTTAAAGATTGCATTAATTTTAGTGGTTTTTGCCTCACCCCTCAAGCCCCAGGGGGGCAGGGACCATGAAATTCACAAATTTTGTCCCCCTTCACCCATAGATGTTATATGCCAAATTTGGTTGAAATTGGTTGAGCGGTTTCAGAGAAGAAGCTGAAAATGTTCAAATGTTAACGCACAACGCACGACGCACGCCGACGGACGAAAACGGATAGCAATAGGTCACCTGAGTGACTCAGGTGACCTAATAAAACCACGGCTTCTGCTATTGGTGATGTGTAGCATGTGATGTACCGGAACTTCCACAATGTGATGGTAAATTTTTGTAGAACAAGATCACTCGGTTCCGGGCCCTCTGATGTTCTAGTGGTTCCCAGCCGAGTTGATATAGCATGGTGGACCCAGTTCCTTGATCCCTTGACGAATAATCACCAGTGGCGAACCTTGCTGCCCGGGGCTGAGCATCTTCTAGGTGTTGGACTACACGATGTTGGTAAGGACCCAAAACCACTGAGGGCCACCCTGGCAGAAGTTGAGTTGATATGCTCGCGTCATATGTCTGGTTATGCAGTTTATAGGACTCTTTAAATGGATGGCGTTTCTTAGAAATGTGGATGGTGGTACATTTTTGACGGTGAAAAGCCATCTGCCAGTCCTTTTCCCATTTCTCAACTGCACATAAGTCCTGTTGAAGTTGGACTGTGTCATTGGTTGATTGGATTGTCCTGTAAATGAGGCAGTCGTCTGCAAATCATTTAACAATGGATGTTACCACCCCCGGGAGGTCCTTGATGTAGGCAAGAAATAATAGGGGACCCATCACTGTGCCTTGAGGTACTCTGGAGTTCACATCTGCTATGTTGGAGGACATCCTTTTAACCAATACTCGCTGTTTTCTGTCTGATAAGAAACTTTCAATCCACTGTAGAGTGTAGCCACGAATCCCATAATAATTCAGTTTGCGGAGGAGACGTTGGTGTGGTACCTTATCAAATTCCTTGGCGAAATCCAGTAAGATGACATTAATCTGGTTGCCGTTAGGCTACTAGCAAGAACTTGTACTGTGGCAATACGTTGAGTCCCATATGAGCGCTTACTATGAAATTCCTGCTGGTGTAAGGATAGGTATCAACTGTTCCTTCCCAACTGTTCGCTCGGCACTTTGAAGTGAAAATTGCGGGTCTTTAGGATATGGCCTTAAAACTGAGGCCCAGTGTCACGGTAGGCGTTGTCACGATAAAGAACCCTCACTGCTTAATGGCCCTCATTGCCGAGTAAAGTTCTAAATTTTAAGCCCTTCAACGGTATATGGTGACGTCTCTGTATGAGTGAAAAATTGGGACATTAAACATACAATCACCCAATCGCTGCCCAAGTGCAAGGGAGCTATTTTATATTTATTTGCAAACACGTGATAATATTACTGTCTAATGGCATTAGTTTGAAAATTACAAACCCGTACTATAATCCAAAAAGCATTTATAAATATCATATTTTTGATGAGGGTTCAGCACTGGTATCCAATGACGCTACTAAGTAAAAAATGAGGTAAGAATACTTAGGCTTATTTATTGAGCTAATGATTTTGTAAACAACATCATGTTTTGTATTTAGCCTACATTTGATGTAAACTTTTACCTTGCTGGATAATTAAATGTGGCTACCTCATTAGAGATTCAGTTTTCAAGTGCAGATATGATAAAGTTCATTATACCTTTATCGACTTAGATATGAGAAAGGATGAACTCTAGAGAAAAACTGTGTTACAGGTAATGAATCCTTCATATGAAAATTATCTCATTCATTATGTCTCCAAATTTTATAAACTCCCTTTATAAGTATGATCACATTTCAGGGATTTATCAGTACCTTCTCAGGGGCCGAAATTCGGCCCCATTCCCAATTGAAAATGAGTTCAGTTTTTCCCAATTTGGCAGTATTTTTTCCCAATTGGTGAACAATGCTTTTATATTTAATTATCTTCGGAAAACACAAAGTAAAATTGTCAGATTGTCTGTAACTTTAATCTATTTAACTCATTTAGCAAAGCTACAGTCATGACACATGTTTAAAAACACTGTAAAAACATCGCCAACTTTTAATCCGAATTTCCTCCGTTTTTCTGAAAATGGTGATGTGTAATTACATAGATTTGTTAAGTTATTTCTACCTACTCAATTGATCTACGAGTGAATGGTAAGGACTGTAGGCATTATTTCAAATAGAAAAATATATTTTCAATGCATTAATACATATTAAAAGAGGACTTTGTGTACTTAGTATAATTTTTTGCAGGAGGTTTATAATCTCCAGAAACAGATTCTGCAATGACCTAAATTGGAATCTCACACACACATGTACTACCCTAAGTTGTACAAACACTTTATACTCATTGAAGTCAATTTTACTAAGTCTGTTATTCATAACTGATCTTGTATGAATTAATTAAGTTGGATCATATTTAATTGTCTGTTTGGTTGCCCAAATAAGAGTTCATGCTGAAATGTTAAATGAATTACACCTGAATACATGATTTAAGCAACACTTTTAATTTTTCCCAATTTCATCAAAAAGCCGATAATTTTTTCCCAATTCCACAAAAATGGCGTTTCCCAAAATAGGCTGATAAATCCCTGCATTTACACATTCATAACATGATGTTTGGTAGTGAATTTTTGGGACTGCATCAAAAAAGAACTGAATGGGTTTTTCCAATTTACAACGGAAAATTGAAGTATTTGGATAATTTAAAGATATGAGAAATATTAGACATAAATAGAGCGTTATAATTTGATATATGATTTTTTTTTTATTATACATGAGATAAAGAATTTTAAGAACATTTCAATTACCTGCAAATTCCTCCATTTTGACAGCGATTGGTTTTTGTCAAAGGATTACAGTCTGGTCCATATTGACAGAACTCTCCGAAATAATTCTCTGTACAATGACATCTGTATTCCGAAAAATCGACAGAGGCTAAGCAGCTACCGAGGTATGAACAATGATAGGCAGTACAGGTGGTTTTTTCTGAAGATGCATCCTTTTCTATGAATTCATATGTTATGTTAAAACCATATACATCAACCATGTGTTCAAGAACTCGAATATTTATGTCTCCCATTTGGTACACCCCAAACCGCAAGACCACATACGGAGCCGGTATTTCCAGAGTATAAATGTCGTGATAAGCGTTCATTATCTCCATTTTGGATTCATTTCGATAGTTTTCAGAATTCGTGTATTCCTGAAAGAATTGAACAGTAAAATAATTTGTTAAATAAAACTGAGTGAAATGAATCAGCGTTTTGGACGTCTCTTTGTTATGGATCACCCATTCACAGCGGATAGGAGTCGGGAATTCTTTAGGAAAATTCGGAGATTGTATAATTCCTTTCGGAGAACGGAGAAGTCCACCACAATTTCTATAGACGCTAGAAACTGTGTAGTGCAGTCGTACGAATACCATTAATTTTAAATAAAACGTTACCATCCCCATTGTCACAACTTGTTAATTGTTCGTGTAATTCGCTTTCCGTATTTATATGAACCTAATGTAAAGTTAAAAAAACTTTAATGAAAAACTCCCGTCCGTCACAATTTTACAATATGTTCTGATCTATTTTGGATTTTTCGGTTCCTCTTATTTCTTTTACAAAGAGATATTTCTACGTTTTTAAATACATTTAGCCTAAAAGTAATGTCTTGTACTTAAACTTTTTTTTTCATATTTCACCGGGTGAAACATATTTGGTATCAAAATATAGGATTGACAACATCAGAAAAGTACCCGATCAGTGTATCAGGTGAACTAGAGAAGGGATGGAATAGCATGACAAGGCGACTTGACACACTGCACTCTGACTCTCTCGGTAATAAGTTGGTCAGAAAGCCTTAATGAGTTTTTCTACCTTGTGATAAATTATTCATCAATGTTTTGACATTGTGATGACTGATCTGTAATCTTATCAGTTTAGAAATCTTTCTTTCAATAATTCTCTCTTTTACGTACGTTAATTACTCATTCCCCTTTTTGTGTATTATAATCTGAATCAAGCAATGAAGTTTTCATCAATTGTGATCGAGACATATCCAAGGTTTCACATTCTATTTATTGATATTCTGTTGTTACGCATTCTAGTAATAACTAGCATATAAATGACTTAAAGTCAACGATCCCTTTTCTAATTTAAAGATACATGTACTTACTTCTCACCATAAATGAAAAGGAAATCTTACTTTCTAATGCAATGTATTTTTTCGTCAAATTGGCTTGTCTTTAGTAACTACATGTAGTATATCAAAACATTTAAAAGCCCATTTCCGTAATTTATTCAAAAGAAAATAAACAAGCAGGAACAAAACTATCATCACCTACTCCAAAACTAAATTCAAGATCTGCATTTTGTTCAAACAACACAAGTAAAATACTTTGAAAGACTACTATACAGTCAAAATTCGTTATCTCGAACTCGATGGATCATAGAAAAAACTTCAAAATATCCGAGGATTCCAGATAATGAGTTTAAAATACATAAAGAAAGAGAAGTTGAATTTTCAAGTGACTTCGACATATCCATGGTATTAGAATTATCCGTGTTCGAGATGCCCGGGTAAAATTTGATAAGGGGGCAATAATTATCTTTAATTAATTAAACACATCAGTATATTTAATTGTTTTTGCAAAAGCGATTTGCTTTTTTTGTGAAGACAGTACGTCTGAAATATCTTGCGCTTTTCTGATATTTTTAAAATCGACCTATAGAGGTAGGCGGCGAAACAATAATGTCGTTCGCAGTCCTTCACATCGTAGTTTTCAATATCACATTGCCCACTGACACCGACCTTTGAGACGTGACTTTGAATCATCTTTAGGTAATCAGCAACAATATACTCAACTTTGAATTCATATGCATTTCAGTCAAGTTTTCTTTTCTCTAAATGAAGGCACATACACGAATTCAATACCTCGTTGCCCAGTGTCCAGAACTTTGAAATAATTTAGGCATCAACATACTAAAGATTGGATCTATTCCTATCAAGGCTTCGAGAGATATTTCACTGGCACGATTATGTGACAGCGAATTGAATAACTAAAATGACTGAGTTCAATTATTTTTATGCCGTAGAATTGATGTACGATTACAGTCTACTTTGGTAAGACCCATCTACAGACAAACCCCCCTTTTTTTTTAAATACACAAAACTTGCACAAGCGCGGGGGGGGGGGGGGGTATTACCCATTCTAGGACACATTTATAATTTGATAACAACATACGTAAATCTGTAACAGTTCATTTAATCTATGAATGTAGAATTTGGGCAATTGGTTGTTACTAGAATCTAAATGTAAATTTTTAAAAACATTATTTTAGGAGGGCATTTTGCGTACACAAATAAGCGCTTCAAAGGAATTAAAAAAAATAAACACAAACATTGAAAATTGCACTTTTATAATATGTTATTATGAAAGATGTTAAATCATGTAAATTGTCAGATCTTTTCTTTCATTTGATTTTGATCTAGATAGATTAATTCAGATACAAGTTAAAAAAAACCCCATTAAGTTACAGTAACAGCAATTCCACAATCTTCATTATTACAATTGATATATAAATCTAAATACAAGCACTTGACATCGACCGCTATCCATAGGGCTAGGGCTAGGTATAAGAGATACATGTAACATGTCGGTTTAACATTACTAATGTTTTTATATCGTACATCGTGCATTAGATGTACTACACCGTAGGTGAATTTTGATACTTTTCAAAAAACTTTAAACCTCAGATATTTTTAGGTTGCTGAAATAGGAGTATAATAAATAGCTGGCCTATTGTCCATTTCTATATACATCATATAAAGCAGATGTGAATGGCGTAATTAGATATGCTGAAAGTAATGATCATTAACTTTTCAGACACATATGAAACTAGTTGAGGCAGAAAATATGTTATGAAGTTCACCTGAAAGTAAGTCACTTTTACACAAATGATAAAGGACATAAGTTCTGCAAATTATTAAATCCGAGGAGTTCCCAGTAGCCCTCACAGTAGCTCTGGCGAGATCTAGCGAGACTACAACGAGATAAGGTAAATTATTTTCGAAAATGTGGCTAGGAAGTGACTAGCACGTGGAGACGTGGTGAACAGAAAAGTTATAATGCGTTTCATTTTTAACCACTGAATAATATCTGTAGAAATGTACTTCAATCTCTCTGGAATTCATTCAAACGTCAATAAGTATTCTTCATGACATTATTTTCTGCACTTAAGTATTAAATTTCGTTCTGGACAAACATACTTGCATGGGAACAGGGACTATATCTTTTGGCGTTAGATTAGCAAATGAGGTACCAGTATAGATTAATCTGAATGAGTTGAATTGCACTGTGGGTTACTAAAGGGATTTTACACTTTAAAAAGGCGATCGGAAAGACACAGAGAACATTTTTTCCATGCATTTGCATGCATTTCCATGCTGTCCATTTTTATTCTATTATTTCCATTCTCATAATTACAAACAATTCATAACAATTCAGTCGTTAGAGCGTTCGCTCTAGAGTAAGGAGTTGATCCTTACGTCGCAGGTTCGAATCCCACTGTGGGACGTGGAGACCGGTCCTTCGGATGAGACCGTATAAACCGAGGTCCCGTGTCGCAGTAGGTGCTGGCACGAAAAAGATCACTCACTGCTCTATGGCCCTAAGTGCCGAGTAGAGGTCAAAATTTGCAGCTTTCCACCAGCAAGTGGTGGCGTCTCCATATGAGTGAACAATTCTCGAGAGGGACGTTAAACAATAAACAAACAAATCATTTGAACGTAGAAGTCTAGGTTTCTTAAAGTCATACTGTAAGGCGATTTTCGTCTGCATTCCTTTGTTGTACTATCGGTGAATACAATTGTCAGGTGGGTTCCCTGACCTAAAAGCACAGATGATCACCGGTATTGTGATATGATAAAAAACTTTGTTGTCCATTTAATTGTTTAAATGCCTATAAAGGATGCTGCTCGTTTACCTTAACCTTGAAGCGCTAGTGTTCTGAACGTGGCACAGACTACATTTTTATATGCATTTTGTAGTTACTTAACAATAACAACAAATTACGAACGTCCGTGGCATATATCTTTCATAGTTTCTACTCTTTGTATTTTTTCATATAAACATTTTTTTTTAAAGAATGGGTGGACTTAACTTGCCAGAAAAAATGCCGTAAATTAAAGTTTCATAAAATGATTATTTCTTTCCATCATATAAATCCCCGATATCTTAACCGTGAATTCATGGTACAGATATGAATTTAAAATGCTCTTTTCGAGGTAAACTAAATAAATATCGAAGGCATGGTGCCTGAAGATTTCTTGAATATCAATAGATAATCAGGGTCACGCGTTTTTCATCGTCTGAATACATAGTCAGCGCATGTTTGTCGGCTGTTCTTAAGAAAACTGTAGTTGTATATTGAACAAAATAATGTCATATTAAAAGGAGAAGAGCCGACAAACGTGCGCTCACACTTAATTTAACAAAAAACATGTTCAAAATGAAGTTTTCGTTTCCATTGTTATGACTGAGTTAACCTTGATTTGACTTCGATTGACCTGTTAAATATTACAATTCATCACGTGACGTCCACCTGCGAGTGTACTCGTGAAAACAGTTACATTGTATTATTCAACCTGACCTCGTTCTAAATCACATCTTTGAGCGTGTTTGGTTGCCGTTTTCAGAATCTAGCAAATTAAATGTTGTTTTAATTTTGCGTGTCCACACATTTTTCTTTTTAATTTCATATTGACATCGCTGTAATATGCCATACACATATTCGAATTTCTAGAGAGAGAGAGGGAGAGAGAGGTCAACAATGACGCCGATCGATAGCCCCGCCTTCTATTAATATTGATTACGTGACCTAGAAACCACTCCGTGTACATGCCAAATTCCGGAAGACGATACTAATGTATCGTTGCTTCAATTTTGATTCATGGCAACAGGGCATTGCCTTTGTACAAATGTTCTATCTAATATAACCATGTATACGTAACTCTTTCTATTGCTTGTAATATATTTTGGATTCACTTCATCGCAAAAAGATCCAAAATAGGGCGTTAAGTCCACCCATTCCTTGTTTGGTTTTTTTTTGTAATCCATTTAATATCTATCGTAGATTGAGTTGAACCACGTGTTCGAAGTAAAATGTAAACATATACATAGGTGCCAAGTTAACGTTGCTATTCATTCAATGATTGGTCAATTGTTGGTGGTAAGATCCTTGAACGTCAATTGCTACATAATGACACGCCCATTTCTTTAGAAACGAGAAAGAAATATTCGTGTAATGCTTTAGGATACCCCACTCTCTGCGACTAACAACATGAGTTGCACTAAAATGGAAATTTTATAAAGTTAGAGGAGAGAGTTAGAGACCCCTTTTTCTGTTAAACACGTATTGTAACGAATATGTGTACATAATTATGAATTTATCGTTTATTGGAGTT